CAATCGTGTGAAAATCTTGCATGAAGCTGTCTCTATGTACACACAGTGGCGGATCTAGAGAGGGGGTTGGGCTTGTAACCCCCCCCCCCCCTTCAGCGGCTGACTAATGTTATGATAATAATGTTATGACCATAATAAATTATAATAGTAAAATGGGGCCAAACTAATAAAAGGGATGATAAAGCTCCTTAGTTTATTTTCAAATTAATCTGTTTCTTTCCCAAAGAACCCACTAAACAATTTTCGCCATCTCAATGGTAATGCACTATTTCTAACCTCCCATTGTTAACTATGCAGTTGCACCTGTTATACGAAGTAGTTTCGTTTGGATAAATCATAAGTTATTATAAATAAAGGAAAGAGCAGGATTCACCATTTACGGGAAAATAATAATTAAAAATAAGCGATAACCAATATACATTATAAAACTAAACAGGTCACATGAGTTAACTTATATATTACATGTACATTCACTGTTTTCTTCTGGTACTAATTTTGGAGGAAATGAAACAACTAAAATTTAACTTGAATAACTGCTCATTAATTGTGGAATGTAAGAATGTAAAATAACCAATAATTTGGGTGGATATAAACGTGTTTATTTTGCCATTTTGCTTGTACATTGTATTACATAAAATAATAATGATGTATGGAGTTGAATAAACTGAGTGATAAGAACCAAACCATTATTGATTGTTATCACTCAGTTTGCTCTTTGTAATTTGCTTGTATATTGCGGCACAAAAAAGGTTCCAATGACCTATGACGTTGAATAAACCGAGTGACAAGAACCAATCAATGATTCGGTTTTTCCGATTTATTCAAAGTTTCCTGTTAGCAAGAATGTGATTTTAGTACTGTGTTTAGCAGCTGTAGGGCAACTGGAGCTATGTTTCAAAACAAGTAAGTCTACCGTTCCTTACAACACCGTTGGCGGATCTGGGGGGGGGGTTCATCCGCTGACTATAGTTTTATAAAACTAGTAAAAAAAAAATATGGAATGCTAACGATTCAAATATTTTCTCACATTGTCCTACAATGCAAGAGAAAGCATTCCATATTTTAGTTTTTCCGTTTGATATGCCCCTCTCCAGGCCACACCTATCAGGGCATGGCGTTTGGCACTCGCTCACTCAATCCTCTTGATATTACCCCCGCCCCCTCCTCTTAAGTTTACTGGAAGCTAGATCCGCCTCTGATGCCGCCACTTCCACTTTGACCCTAACCCTACAACACTAATTAATTTCCACCCATTTCGCAATTATTTGAGAATAGTTCAAGAATCTTTGAAACGTCAAGCCCTTTTACGAAAAAGAAAACATTTAGCCCCCAACTAAACCCATAACTGGTTTAGGAACCTGAACAAGTTATATATTAGCCTAATTGAAATATGGCGAACACAATAGGAGGGCGCTATTTGGTTTCGGTAAATAAGAGTTTACCCAAATCACACAGCGCCCTCCTATTGTGTCTACCATATCTTTAATAGGGTAACAGATAAGTTTAGATCTCAAGTTATAATTCAGAATCCTCGGAACACATTTGGCCCCTCCCGGCATTTTGTTTGATTTCGAAACCGCAACAATTATCACGTTTGCATGATTCCAAACTATAGAGGGCAGCACACACTGTACACATTACCGGGAACCATCCCGTTCATTCGGGGGATCAACGGATATCAAAACTATAGAGGGCGGCACACAATGTACACATTTCCAAGAACTATCCCATCCATTGAGGACATCCAATCTATAGAGGGCAGCGCACAATGTAGTCTACCGAGACCATCCCATCCATTCAGGTAAACAGCGACATCCAATCTATAGAGGGCAGCACACAATGTACAGTTTACCGAAACCATCCCATCCATTCAGGGGAAAAGCGGACAGGCAATCTAAGCTATAGAGGGCAGCACACAACGTGTTCAGTTTACAGATAACCATCCATCCATTATTCAAGGGAATTGCGGGCCTCCAATCTATAGAGGGCAGCACACAATGTTTACAGTAGTGTTCGAGGACCTTCTGTCATCCATGCACAATTACAGTCAAAGCGCATTGGGTCCAGCCTACAGAGGGCAGCATGAATAATGGCCTTCTCCGTGAAGACAACTACGACCACGTTAGGTTTTGGCGCAGCATTGTGAATGTCAAAATAAAAACGGCCAACACATGAGCAAGTTTGGGCTAACTTTGCTCGAACAAAGGTTTTTGGGCTATCTAGTGGCCTATTTGGAACCGGAGCGTGGGGCACAGTTGACGGTTCCATCGCTGGTTACCAATAGCTGCGCGCATCATAAAGCACAATGGGGGACCAGGACGTTTGACCAAACGATGACTAGAGGTGTTCGCGCGTTGCTATTTAGTGTGCAGGCGTAGGCCTAAGTTTCGTCAAAGATCTACCACTACTCGACTAATGGTCCTTGCCCGAACAAGGCATGCTGTCTAGAGCTGATGTTTCTCATCAAACTGCAGTGTTCAGTGGTGTATTAATGCATGATCAGACAAAAGCCGGAAAAGCTTCCTGTATTCTGATTCGATCGCACAATGGACCTTTATCATGCTGCCACCATTTCAGTCATGTTCCCTGTATCTTATAACAGTACTGAATGATAATGGTTTTTGAGCAAAAAGGAACCAGACTTTTTTTCCTTCCAGCCTTGCTTTCGTTACGTTGATTTGAAAAGGAAAAAATAACGATGATAATGGTCTACACAGGTTGTTAAAAAAAAAAAAGGAAAACCAACTTCAAAGAATGAGTATGGACAGACGATATGTTTACTGGCTATAAAACTAGCTTTTCAATGATACCATGGTTAGGTTTTCTGAGTTTTGGGCTTTTCCGAAAAGTTGCGGAAAAGCCTTTGTTTTTGTTCTGATTTTTGGCTTTTTCGCAAATTTGCGAAAATGCCTTTGTTTTTGTTCTGATTTTATTTTTATGGCCTTTTCGCAAATCTGCGAAAAAGCCTTTGTTTTTGTTCTGATTTTTTTCTGCCATCTTTCTTCTTTTCGTTCCATGCAAAATCCCATAGACTTTGTACACGATTTAAGTACACGCCACTTTTGGCATTGAACTTTGTCATACATCTTTCAAATTTAGCATATGCATTATCCTTATGGCAAAGTAAAATTGAATGTTTATACGAAGGCTGAAAAGCACGCCAGGAAGGGGCAGGGGACATGTCAAAAGTGACGGAGCTGACTGGAGTGTGGATGTTAAATCCCTGCCAGGCTGGGATTTTTTCCAAACGACATTCATTTCTCATCTTCTGACAGGTCCATTACATGCATATCTAATGCCTTGTTCTCCACAACACAAACCCAAGATAGGCTTTACGTCTTGTTAGAAATGTTCCTCCCCAACTTTAGTAATTTAAAAGGACAAATGAGAAGTGAAAAAACGCTCATTGAGATTCGAATTCAGACGATTAGAAGTCAGGGGCCATATTTATGAAACCTTACTAAATTAGCAGCCAACTAGGCCTTAGTAGGATACTTAAATGCCTAGTAGTCCACTATGGAGTTGACAACTAAATTGTTATTCATGAAACCTTACTAAGAACCTTGCTAAATAGTTACATACTAGGGGAATTTAGTTACATACCTGAGTAACTGGAATAAGGCGCCTTTGGATGGAAGGGCATGTATGGAATGTGATGACAACAGATACAATAGTGTGACAGGTGTATTAGGCTAATCCATGTCCAGCACTTGCGTGGATTAGCCAAACAAAAGAAAAAGGAAAACATTGACCAAGGCCTATATGTGGTAGAGTGTACTGCAAGTAAGTGAATCAACATCAAATTTTCTAGCAATTGCATATAAAGCACAAAAGGCAAGGAAGGCAAATTATTCTCAAGAAGAGTTCTAACACTTTATGGCAGACAAAATGTTATTGATGCTAAGCATAAGAATGCAAACACTAACAAAAAAAAAGAAAAATGCATGGGCAGCTTTTCTCAGCCAACACCGTGCAAGATTTCCACATGTTGAAAGATCATTGGATTATTTAAAATTAGATTATCCAAATTAAAATCCAAGTCAAGAGAATGCCTGTCAAGTACGAGAAAGTCCAAGAAGGCAACCGCAGAGGGAAAACCACCTAAAAAGCCAAATCTGGCACAACAAAAAATGATATAGTTGCTAACTAGTGACTTACAGTTGCCCTGGATCTACACTAACTTTAGTAAGAAACTTAGAATGTAACTAGCATTAGTAATGTTTCATGAATATCAATTAGTTACCAACTATGCTTAGTAAGAAACTTCATGCCTATTTAGTAACCAACTGGGCTTAGTAAAGTTTCATGAATATGGCCCCAGGACTACTTCCAACCAGTCCACGATTCAGCTGCCAATGGTCAGTGATATAAACACCATTATTCCTTGTTAACCTATTCTCTAAAGGCCTGGACATCATGAATATGCATAAGACAGGGAGAGCGCCCTCTTTTGATATTGTCCGATCTCGTTTGGGAGAAAATTCACTGCCCGGCCTTCCTAAATAATAGATGCAAACGAAAATGGAAAAAAAAAGAAAAGAAAGTTGGTAACGCCGGTGGTAATCTTTTCTAAAATATTCATCATAAACACTACCTGAACACCTTCCCTCATTTCTATATATCGAAGGAGAAAGAAAGAGAACGGATAAAGGAATTCTTAAATGTTAATCTATTTCTTATCCCTATGCAGCACACCGTTTAGCCAATGAAAGGCTATGGTTTGCCACTGGCCGAAAAACTGACCAATTACAAGGAATGATGTGTCACACCTGAAGACCAATCAGTGAATTACATAATCGTCTGCCTCTATTCTTTCCTTTCCATGCAATACTAAATTCCCTCACCACCAATCATATTATCAATCAAGTTATCTACGTTGTGGTGTGAATACGTTTCAGATGGAGAAAATGGCGAAATGCACACTTGTTTTGGAGTTATTGTACATAGTCTCCTTGGTATTCCAGGGAACTAAATTGATTATCTTTGGATTGGAAACTTCATCTTATACAGGGAACATACATTTTATGCTGCGTTCACTACAAGGGTTTGCATATGCAAACAAAACTGTGCGCTTTCGTGTCATCTGCGGACGGGAATGCAGCAAGGATGAATGTTGCAAGTCGTTTAACTTTAACGACTGCAGTATTACTGTGCGGGCTGAACCTTGCCACAAAACGAGAGCATCCCGAAGACTTCAATGCAACACAGGTGAGTGTATACTTTGATGCATGAGGAAATACCTCTCTACTCACTGACTGATAGCTCCATGAATCGCTACAGAAGTTGCAAGACGCTCTATCTATGATGCCTGTTATCGCTCAAGTGGTATCTACACTATCTACCCAGAGGGATTCGGCAATGGCAGTCTTCCAATACCCTTGCGTCGGTCACTCCCGCCTACACCCGGCTTAGACGGCCGGATTTTTCTCTCTCTCTGATCGGTAAATCCTTCCGCAGGTTCACGGAAACCTTGTCAGGGAAGCCCTGTGGGCCACATCCCAGCAGCTTTAGCAGTGTGATATTCAGCCGATGGTTCGTCCGTTTATAAGTGGCATTTTGACACCTTGCAAAACTTCCGATGATGAATATAAACGACCCTCTAAAAGCGTGGAGCGTACAAATACCCCCAACCAACTTAAGCTGATTTTCTGCACAGGCGGCGCGGAATATTACCAGTACAGTTTTTGGGTGTAGCAGCGTAGGGGGGGGGGGGGGGGGGGGGGGGCTAAGTAAATTCGATGGAATAAAATTGACATAGCTGGGAGGGGCTTGATCCCTCCCCCCCCCCCAGACTCCTTTATTAAATCGTCACCGTTTTCACGAAGAGGCGAATTAATAGTATTTCACTGTCTGTCTGAACAAACATTCCAGATAATCGCGTGTTAATTTGGTCCACTTGTCATTTAACAATTTGAAACTTAAAGATGCATAAAATATGCAAAATTTAGATATCAGAGGAAAGAAGAGATTCTAATCTTCCGCAAATTTCGCCCTTCTGCGAGCTGAGTCAATGCATTTTTGTACAGTACGCGCAGATTCTGCCCCACTGCGCATGCGCCTTGAAATTCGCCCTTTTGTTAAAACGTTTTGTTGCATGCGCATGGAATTCGCCCTTTCGCATAGATATATAGAATAAAAAGACTAGATCGTTTTGTTCTATATCTATGCCCTTTCATGATATATATTTACTGAAAATCTATTACTTCCATAGAGTGCGGAAATTCGCCCTTTCGTGAAAACGCAAAACGGCACTTTTGACAAATTGCCCATTCGTTAATTAGGTTAATTAAGATTTTAATTAATTTTTTGAAAGTATAGCCTCACCAGGTTGTAGATATTGATATCTTTATTCATTTCACCCCCCCAAAAATCGAAAAACAGACAATTTTCGAAAAAAATCGCCCCTTCGTGAAAACGGTGACGAAATGTTCCACCCCTAAAAGTAGTCATCAGGCCATCGCCTATTAATAAAAACTGATGAGCAAATTCATGGCCTAATATCACCGAAATTTCACAGATATACAAGGTCGCAATCCTCATCACGGCTTCCCTCCTGTTTTTTTCTTGTTTTTTTTACTAAATCCTCAAGTTCATGGCCACAATTAAATGCTCTAATAGCAAAAGAATTAAATGAGTACATACAATTAGTGATTATTTTGGCACGCGTTGGCAATTTTGGGCCTATTAACTGGCCTGCACCCATGAGTTGGGAACGTTGCCTGCATCGCTCGTACCCCCCGCCCTGCAAACAGGACGCGCGGATACTCTGATGAATTCGCCCTCTGATTGGTTGGATTTTGCGTGACATGTGTCCTGCGCGTCATCACAGTCATGAGTCTGCAAGGTTTGAAACGGTCGTTAAGACAGATTCATTATTCTTTTATTCCAGTTTAGATTTTTTTTTTGGTTGAAAAGCGTAATAATGTAGGAAATTCTGTAAAACTTATCTGTGTTGTAAATTTAGAATTCCCGTCACTTGCTCAGGTTCCGTTTCGAATCACGAACGGTCGGATTGCATTATTCAACGCTCAAAATTTTGTCCACATGTTCCGTAATGAAGCAGAAATTACATCCGGTATGGAATGTGCACATTTCTATGGGAAAGTCTTCGGATAGCATTTGCGCGCACTGTCTAACTGCAGTCTTAAACAGCTGCAGCCAGATGCTATAAATACATAGGTCATAGGCCACTTCCTTCACAAGTTTCTGTGAAGCTCATCAGCGTATCCTAGCGTCCTGTTTGCAGGGCGGGGGGTACGAACGAATGCCTGCCATCACACACACAACTCTGTCGATAGGTGGCGACATCCCATCGTAAGGTATTTGCCCTGTTCTTGTCCAAGTCTCACCTTGAGAGTGCGGCGTGGGTTCTTCCCATATCGGTTGATGAACAGCTATGCAAGGCTGAATTGCGTTACAAAAGCCTCCTATCTATGGCCAAGTTCGGGCAAGGACCATTAGTCGACTAGTGGTTGATTTGTGACGTACCTTACGCCTGCGCACTAATAGCAACGTGCGAACGTCTCTAGTCGAACGCTGGTCAAAATGTCATTGCAAAACGTCTGGATCCTGGCTCCCTGCTGTACGTTATGAATGCGCGTGGCTGTGGTTACCAGCGATGCAACCAGCCCCAGTAGGTTGGTTCCAAATAGTCGACTAGCGTAGGTAACCATCGTCGACTAGACAGAGTTCGGGCAAGCGTTAGTCGAACAATGGTTAACTATAGTCCTTGTGCGAACTTGCCCAATATTGTTGCACTATAGGACGCCCTCTACTTGCCATTTTGTTGTTTGGTGCATCATATCAAAAGAGGCGGGATGAGTGGGTAAATTGCATTAAAGGAGCAAGTCAAGAGTTTAAGTTTGAAGGGGGGGGGGGGGGGGCTGGTGCCATCTTCAAATGGGGGCGCTGTTTAAATCGGACAATCATGCACACTATCGGACAATAGATAGCGCCTTTGTGGCACAATTGCCGAAGGTCCCGCGAAATTCCAAATAGGGCACGCGTAAAAGGCACTGGTAAAAAATGGCACTTGTTTTAGAAAAAAGGGCACTTGTTCAAATTAAAAACAAAGGGGTTGGGGGGATACCCCACTTATACCCCCTCCCCTTCCCGCTGGCTACGCCCCTGGGGAAAGTGTTGATTGTGTGTGCTGTGATAACCGGTCATGCAAGGCAGTGGTGTGTGATTGGAAGTAGTCATCCCAATCTACCTGGTACTGTACAGAGAACATTCATCTACGGATGAAAAGAAATAGTTCAGCACCATTTCTAATTATGCCTCAATGCTTAATGTAGTCCCTGTACCATGAATACTGGCAATGGGCACACAGTATGCACTATATTTAAATGTACATTCTATCAGAAACTGGTAGCATTACCGGCTGTGTGCCACCCCGTCTGATCCGATGGGTGACTTTGGCACATGCAAACCAGTTAGCAGATACTATATTTGCAAAACTTGTGCCAAAAGCACTTACTATACGAGTTTGCATATGTGGCTCTTGTGAGCTGAAAACTTATGCCTACAACTCGTTTAATAAGTGTTTTTGTATGCCTACAACAGAACCGGTTGTGTGAAAATAGTACGGTGGTAATGAGCACTGATCTAGATACAGAGCACATCTTTACTGTCCTGTGGGTATAATGTTCTTTCTACATGTCAAATGCATACCAAGCAAGCCCAAGTGGCCACATTTACTATAAGTCAGGCATATTTTTGTCTACATAAATTGCTTGAACTCTCTTTTTCAAATTTCTTTAGTTAATTTTGGTCGCAAACTGACTATCACGGAAAGTGTCCTTTGTATTTGGGTATGTTTATGGATCCATTGAGATGTATTATGATTTCTGAATTACGACTCGGTACAATAAATTGCATGTAATTTTCCTGATGTTGGAAAGTTTCAAAGACGGTAGGAACCAATGTTTCTGACAATAAAAAAAGTCGCAGATCAGTAAACATTTATCATAATACATAATTCAACGAGTCACACGGGTTTCTTATTCCTTATTTCTCACCGAACCACAGCGATGAATCGTCATTGCACAAATTATCTTAAATCCCTAGATTACAGCAGATCAACCCCCCAAATCCACCCCCCCAAAAAAAAATTGCTTATACTTCTGCAAATTAAAAACCCCATCCCAGTCCCAACAAAACCCAGAATATCCAAGTCCGGATAGGGTTAAGAATCTGTGTTGTCATAATCTTCTCAATGTGAATTGTGTTTGATTGAATTTCGAGTAAAATGCAGCAGCTCCTCTCCCATGACTGTTGATACAGAGGGAGCCTCTTGAATTCGAAATCTGTTCCAATCAGGAACTACGAAGTTCATGTTGACAGAGCTCGTTCGTTGGATGTAATTTCATACAGGCTGGTAGTGAGACCCGGAAAAATATGTTGGTACGTTTAAATTTTCAACAAATTGCCATATGATATTGCCAACTGTCGATGTCATTTCTGGAGGTTGTTTTTTCGACATCTAAAATGAGCATGCAATCTGCGTTGACGTTTAAGAAGTTAAAGCACTGTATATTTTTGTGGGGGGGGGGAGAGGGCGCTTTAAAGAATTAATCAAAAGGGTGCTGATTATTTTCATACAGTTAAGTTAATTGTAACTTCATTCACGGTGCATTTAACATGATCATAAAATTGCATAACAGTGCAGTGCACGCTTTTAATTTTTTGAGGTAAACACAGCACTGGCGTGTGAAACAAAAAAAGGAAACCAAAATGGCAGGACCAGTTATTTAATGAAGCTCTGCATATAGCACCTTCTCTTTCAGCAAAACGAACACAATTCACATGGCGATGTATGTGAATTGTTTTCGAATAATAAGGGAATAAATAATGTGTTTGGCCGGTTTTGAACTAGTACGTTTTTATGAAACCGGCCAGGCACATTATTTATTACCAGTCATCGATACCTTTTTGGTAAAAAAATTAAAATAAGTCAAATATAAATAAATCTTCATCAATTTTATTCAACAGTTGTACCTCTTGTTTTGAGAAACACCCCCTGACCATGTCTATTGTATGTGCCTTGCGCGCGTAGTGCCAACAATTTCCTTACATGGAGATTGGTGTGCAAGCGGCGCGAACCGCGTGGCGCAGAACGTAGCGGTGTTTTACCAGCGCTTTAAAACCACCCATGTGTCATGGTAAACTGTCTTAGGTATACTATACTGCACTGGGTAGTTCTTGAACCAATATATGAAACACCATCACCCATTATGGAATGACTAAATTTCATTCTTTGGCCTTACAAGTGCGCCTCGTGTTAAGACAAAGCAAAGGGCAAATGGCGTCCAAAACAGTACATTCTATTTTAGAATGGCAAGAACGCCTGGCCTTGTCAGCGTATCTCTAACATTTATTGCCACTGATGTTCCATTTTAAAATGCTTACTAAATTACGCCATTAAGAATTAACTACAAATTGTTGCATGCCACTTTATCTGAGGTAAATGAACGTCATTGAAATGCGAGCTTAACATTAAATGTGTTTAAAAACCAAGTATGATTCTGGTCTTGCATGCATGTCGTTGGCTCGTACTTTCACTGCATATTAGTAAAACAATGTGTGTTTGTATGGACAAAGACCCTCGAATCTGAAATCCGATTCAAAACCAGGAACTCTGTTTTTATTGTTTCCAGAGCACGTTTGCTGGATATATTTTCATACAGACTTGTAATAACAACCGGAAATGTTTACGACTTAGTATGCTTACATTGTCTAAGATTTGGTGTTTTTATGGCATTATGTCACACACTTGAAGGTTGTTTTCGTAAACATGCAGTAATGACCATACCATCTGCGTTAACATTTACAACGTGAGACAATCGATGTATTACTTTTGAAGTATCTGAAACCCGGATGCTTGATACTGTAAACACCCTCTGAATCCGCCTTGACCTAAAGACCCCCCCCCCCGGCCCCGGCGTCAATCCTCCTCACGCGTGCCAAGTTACTTCATTGGTTTTGCCTTATGGACCAGACGTTATTTGTGGATGCAGTGTTATTCATAAAACCAAATTCGTTTCCTTAAAGGATCATCCGCATAATCATCAAATGTTGTGTGGTGCACTGTGAACGTCTTGTACAAAAACTAACCATGCTGGTGTTTACGTGACGTTTGCAATTGCCGGTGTGGGGAAGTTTGTTTACATTATATTCATGGTTTTTTTTTTTATATTTATAGACACTTCGACTCTATATAACACCAAACCTTGAGTGTAAGAGCAGAGACAGTTCTAAAGGTGTCGCACCGCATCCATCGCGTGAGACAATTGTTGCAGGAGATTGTCTGAGCGAATCAACTTCATACAAACAGCAACGATGGCATCGAGTTGGATTCTTGCTGTGCTTGTGGTCACCATTTTGTGCCGTAAGTATCACAATCAAGAATTCACAAAACAAAATTAATGTGTTGTATTTTTTATTGTCCAGAGCATTGGTATACTTTTGTATCAATCGTTTTCTTTAAGTATTTATCTTTAATTAACGCGATAAAAGTTCGTTATGTGTGTTGAATTTACTTTAGAATATTTTTTTATGCTTGATAAGCTCAATGGATCATGGACCGTAGGGGGTCTATTCATGAAATAGTGAAACTGTTTCGTCTTTCTCGAATTTATCTACTCAAACACGTGCCTGTACCTGTCTCTTACATACGTCAAAGATTGCTTGTTTAGCATTTTCACCTCAAAACATTAAACGATGTTTCATCCATAATTAAGAACTATACCTTGATAGAAATGAGCGCTTATCATAGTACGTGTTTTATCCGGTGTTTTATGAGTTCTAATAACAAGTGCGAGTGCATATTCAGCTTTGACAGTGTTGCAAGAAGTCTTGCATGAAAGTCTTGCATGAAATCGATCAAAATGATCCCTGCCAGAGCTTAAAAATGCGACGCCGACAAATGCGACGCCGATGGAACATATGGAACCCCATACTTTTGGTCAATTTTCGGGGACAAACAGACAGACCGACCGACCACCAAGTGACATGTAGAAGCTCCTGCCAGAGCTTTAAACCTGCAGTAGCAGCCTCGTGTTTGTATCTTCGGTGAATTGCCAGTAATTTCGTTTGTTGAGAATTGAATTTTCGTTTCTTTTTAGGGGGTGAGAGGGGTGGCTAGAAGTTGACTTTTGTGTCTACTTAATTCTATCTGTTAATAAAACTCATGATCCCCAAAATGCGTCGGCATTGGCTCTTAGAAGCCGGAAGAAACTTAGGAAGAGAATAAAGTATCGGTCCGTTTTAGACTGACGTAGGAGATAAAACTCTGGAAAGATATTCAGGGAAAACAAAAGATTAAGGCAGGGACGTGAGAACCCAATTCACCTGTTGGCGTTCATGGGTGGGATTCGAGCCCTAGTCACAGAGATGAAAGGTGAGTCCCATTGCCCGACAGTCTGATCCAGCCGAGTGTAGTGATTTCTAGCTATTAGCATGCCTGAACTGTGTACACTTCACCAATCATGATTTGTGTTTTTAATTGTTTTACAGAACTCTCCTCATGTCACCCTGTCAGTGGCGGATCTGGACCAACCCGTGTAGGACACTCATTTTCTTCAGGTAATTTACCAACCATTAAACTTAAAGGAGACAATACCTTGCCCTTTCAGGACTGATATAGGGGCGCAGTATGCCCCTCCGATGCTCATTATAATTGCCGCGGAACGCCATGAAATGTAATCATATTTAGGCCACTATGGTATCCAAACAACTCTGTGGACATCATGGTTGCCGTGTCAACTGATTGAAAACCTTAGCAATAAACTTGGGTCCTTTTCTTATAAAACCATGGAAATGTGCAATTCATGGATAAAAAATACTTCGACCAAATATATTAGCTTAGCATTGAAATTCATGGACACGCGATAAACTACAATGGAAAATGAAGAAATACCAGGCAGTAATAATCAGTATATCGTTTGTTCCGATTTTCGGTTAAACATGATGACCTTATTCCAAAAAGTCAGTAAAGTGATAAAAATTGACAAGACAATTTGTACCAAATTTGGAAGCATTTAAATGAAAAGTGTATGTGTTATGTACAAAAAAGGCCTTTTACAGCATAGTATGCGGCTTGTTAAATCCCCATGTTGCATGCATATTTCATCTGACACACTATGGACAATGTTCACTTCACATCGAAATGTTAATATGTATGTATGTGGGTTTTGTGCAATAACCTCCTGAAATGATGATTAAACAAGTAACGTTTTTCTGTGCGAGTAGATATTGGGGGCGCCGACAGACAAACTTCAACTGTCTAGTGACTTGTCCATAAGTCTGATGGTTTCCCAAAACCTTACTCTGGCCCAATACGAGGATTATCCATCACCAGCGACGCCAGTGCAGATCGAGTGACATTAAGTTCTGATTGAACCTGTTGAATTGGTGAATAATTAATTCCTTATTATTTCATTAGCACCATGCAGCCCAGAGGCCTTAGGGCTCGAAGACGGAAGAATCCCTGATAGCAGCATTACGGCATCGTCCGTCCATAGTAGTAGCTTTCTCCCAAGCACCGCTCGACTCAATGTAGGTAGGTATCGTGTCCTTTCTATAAACAACAATCTTGTATAAATACAGGGTGAGCCACAAAGAAAGTGACCTGGATTAATTAGTTTTCCCCCTAAAAAGCAATTACATTGTATACACCAATGAAGCGTGTATTAAACGAGAATTGTCTTCCACTTATGAAAAAGGAATTACTGAAATTGATCCATACTGTCAGAATTATGCATATATGTTTTATTAAAAGAACCCTTTTTTACAGCTGTCCGTGAAATGCTAAATGCGTAGCAGCTATATCAGCTAATTGAGAACCTAAGATTACACATGCACAAGTATTCAAATACAAATGACTCAAGTCAAGTCTCTCAAGACTTAATCATTAGTTTTTGTCAGACAATGTGTTTTGCTTATGAGGAACAAATCAATTCTGTTCCTCCAAATGATGATGGTGATATTTGTCTGTTTTCCTGTGCAAGTTTTCGTTCTTTCATGGAGGTAGGAAAAACCCCATGGATCATTGTATTTCAAACGGTATTCATTCCATGCGTATTGCTACATGCTCAGTGGTGCATGGCTGAATTTGGGGGTATTTCAATTAAAATAGAGTGATTAGAGAATGCAAATGACGTGAAATATTTCCCGTTACCAGTCAAAAACATGTACTATAACTATATTATTTTTATAACATGGAGCGATCCACATCAGTACTGTTTAATTTTGTTTTTCTTACTCGGTCACCCTGTAATGTTGTGTGTTTATATTATGGTAAGCCTGTAGGATGATATTACCATATTTATGTTGTATGCGGTTGCTTCTAATGGCGAATTTAGTCATTTGTCTTTCTGCTCATGCTTCCTTGCTTATCCCAGCAGTGCTGTATCATTAGGGCCCAATTACTTGGCGCTGCTGAACGGCAGCAAAGACTATATTTATCAAAACATTTCAAGCTAAGAAAAGCGCAAACATGAGTTGGTGAGAAAAGTATGGTTTCACACGGCTTCTTCTAGACTATTATTTTGCTCGCAGGTTTAGCGCAGAGTTTCGTACTATAATATACGCTGTAGGCACAGAATGGTGACCATAGACTTCATTAATTAGCATCAACATGAAATTAATGGGCCAAAGTTGTCTTTCAGTGGATTTGCTAACACGGAAATTCCTCTTTATCGTTTCATTACACAAAACTCCATCATGAGGGCCAATTTACACTAGAAGCGCGGCGTCGTGTGGAAATAAACAGTTTGGTGAAGAAAAAACTCAGAACTATACAAATTCATGCTGATGATTAGTGAAAGGTAACAGTGTGACCAAGCTCCGTATATAAACCATCCACTCCGTGATTGGTCAGAATGCAGGTTTATTTTGGAAAATCTGCACCAGTTTTCACCAGCACTGCGGTTTATCCCTCGCGCTACCTCGCGGTATATACCGCCTGGTGAAATTGCCGATTGATTGTTTTATATTTAGATACAAATTATGTTCGTCTGAATTACATTCAAATTGTCTGCAAAACCTTGCCAGTGACCGTAGTTGTTGAAATAAATTCGACGTTTCGTAGCTGAAATACTCCGACTATGGTTCCCATCGCCGCTTCCACAATGTATATGTCAAAAGAAGAGTTTTAACCTCCAAATTGTAGGTGTTATTTCTGAATTTGCACATTATTTTCACATTGGCACATTTCCCATTATGATAATGAAACCATTATATCGTGTCCAACAGGAATCCAAGGATGGATACCAAGCACTCCAGCAGATCAGTGGATCCAGGTCGACCTGGGTAAACCCACGGTGGTTACCGGGCTCACCATGCAAGGATACGACACAGGAACCGTTCATTATATCACTGCATTTTCAGTCCAGCACAGCCTCACAGCCGAGTCGGATGACTGGCAGAGTTTAGCCGATGCTGACGGTGGAGCAATCAGAGTGAGTTACAGAGGGCGCTTTCCAAACATTCAGTCATCTTCATTTATTGCTTTCCACAGCATCGTTTGCCTAAACATGTTAGTTCCAAATTGGAACCAAGATATTTCATGTAGAGATTTCGATTGAATTGAAAAACCAAACTAATTTGTTTGTTTGTTTGTTTGTTTTTTTCTCATCTCTTTAATTCGATAAATATAATTCTTTGTCATTCCATTTCATTAGTGTCAAGGTGAACGATATGTTATTTAATTTAACTAGTTGTCTTTTGGCGTTTCTTTGAATGATTACTTGATTTGTGACAACATTTCATAAATCGTCAGTTAAAATAGTGCCATTATTTTCATCCTTTAATCTCCTCCATCACCATTCATGACAGGAATTTTGAGTGAAAAGACCAAATCGCTGATACGAATGGAAAAAAGCAGAATATCCACCTGAGACGATTGTTCCGAAGCTGGGACTAATTAGAATACTAAATGTATAGATCATCAGTCTGCGAAAAGGATATCTATCGGTTGAAATTTGAAGCAGACATTAATACAATCCAGTCCAATGATTTTGTGGATCGAAATAATGATATATGTTCCTGTCAGGTTTTTTTTTATGATGGAACTGGTAAAATGCAACCGCGAAACCCTGTATTAAATAAATTACTATTGTCGATGGTAACTTTAGCGATTGCCGACTAAAGACAAACTATTTTCCAAGCTGTATTCATGTAGGCGTATAAAGGAAAACCATCATATGCAACAAATATATAATTTTTTTCTGTACCGGCATGTTCCGGAATGTTCCAAATGACAATTGCACAGTACCACACTAATCCTGCTTTTGCTTTTTTTTTTTTAGTTCACCTTGAGCAGTGGTCGGCCGACGAATGTCACTTTTCCTGTGGTACCCATAGCAAGGTTTATTCGCATACTACCCCTGGCCTGGACTCATCAATACTACAGAGTGAGGTTTGAGGTATTCGGATGCCAAGGTACTTAATGAAAGCTATCGATTCTTTAGAAAAATCACATTGAGCAAAGTCATCATTTCGTTCAAAATTATTTAAAGATCTTTAAGACATGAAATTTAACAGCACGACCCGAAGATGGGATTTCTTTTTCAAATTAAAGCGTTAATGCTAAATAAAAAAAATCATCTGCAGAATGTCTTCCCATCACATTCAAATTAGTTCCGTAGTATTTTTTTTGTAATGGACAACACAATTTCCTGAAGTTCGATGAAAGTGTTTTTTTTTATTTCCCCATTACATACGTTGTATTTTAAATCAAATAAAACAAAACGAGTGAAGCTGATATCACAATTGATTGATAGTTTAACGTTTTTAATTTTTCTAAATTGTAGTCGTTCTCATAGTTTAATGCAAAATGACAAATTCTTTTACAGTCCCAGATGGTGCAGTGAGGTTGGTGAATGGCACTGATGCTTTGCGTGGCCGGGTGGAAATCTACCACCACGATACAGCATCCTGGGGAGCGGTGTGCGGTAATGACTGGGGGATAAACGACGCAATCACGGTGTGCCGTCAGCTGGACCTCGGTGCTGCAATCCAGGCCAAAACAGCCTCAGAATACGGGAGAGGTGACCTGCCGATCATGATGAGCCGAGTCGCCTGTGAGGGGACGGAGAGCCGACTGGTCGACTGCCCGTTTGTCTGCACCAACTACCAGCAGTGTGAAAGCTCAAACGTTGCCGGAGTATTTTGCTATCCAAAAAGTAGGTGCCAGTTTTAGTCCGCCTGATTATAACTGAACCCATTGTTCCATCTTCTTATCAAAATTGAATGTTTGGCTCATTAAGCGTGTTTTTGTTTATTCCTTGGTGGATTTAATGTCAAGTACATTATGATGATGTTCAATCCTCCGTTTTCACTGGATTCCGATAATATTTTCCCTGTATTGTACTTGTGTTAAACTTTTTGGAATGATCCCGTGTTTGTTTGTTTCAGTTTTTTTCTTGCGAATTTTATGTTGTTTTTTCACCTCAAACCGTTTACTCCCTTTTCTCCAGCTACGGCTAACCATATTCATAAAAAATGGTCTGGTTCCGATATTTTATTCAGATAATTTAAAGTAGCAAAAATAGTTTTTCCATAAAGCAGCTATTTTGGCCTTGTTTACATTTTAATTTATAACAATGAATACATAAATGTCTTCTAAGTCTTCTTAAACATTATGAAACAAAAGTCTGTTGTCATGTACATGTTATGTTAACTGAGCTTTATTCATTCCCTGAATCGTACTTGAAACAGATACTGTTAGGTTGGAGGGAGGTTCCAATGACTTCAGTGGCCGGGTTGAGATCTTCCGAAACTACACGTGGGGAACGATCTGCGACCGTGGCTGGGACGCCACGGATGGCGGAGTGGTCTGCAGACAACTCAGGTACAGCGGCGCCGTGGAGGCTAAGTCCGGAGCACACTACGGGGAAGGCAACGGCCTTGTCCATATGGAGGGCGTGGCCTGTACCGGCTCAGAGGAGGGACTCGCTAACTGTCCGTCCCTCTGCTGGACAGCATCCACCTGCAGCCACAGCCGAGATGCCGGGGTCATCTGCAGTGTCGGTAGGAACAAAGACAGTTTTTAATTATCTTATAAAACATCGTAAAATTAATTGAATAATTTGGGAGGCACCACTCTGCTTTACAATCACAGGCATAGCACAGACACTGAAACAATTTAAACTACTGAAACAAATTAAACAAATTAAAAGCAGCCGCTGGAATTTAAAGGCTATTTAATACGTAAAAACCATGGAGGTCTCACTGAATTCAAAATACTGGGTTGATCATTTCCAAATATGTGTTTTACAATTAGAATCAAATATTTTTGATGATAAATCAAGTGTCACACAATGAGTCTATACAAATTCATCGAGCTGGTTATCAGGTGAGGCGCGCGCATGTTGGGAACCCTATTGGTCTAAGGAGCATTAAGATCGCGTGCTCGTCCTGCGCGTCAGATGGTGATATCACCATCGTAATGACTTCTAAATATTAAGGTCCGTGTATACAGTCTGTTATTAATATGATAATTAGGAGTTTATTTGAATTCGATTTTCTTTACTTTCGTTGTTTTAGAAACCAGTGGTTCTGAAGAAACCAACCCTGAGTGACGTGACTATTGACAACTGGCTTCATGCAGTGCCTGCGATAGCCCTGCTTATAGACTACATGCGAATGTACATGGCATGCGGTTGATATAAAGGTTACTCCGTTATGTATTAAATGTATCACTTAATTCGTAGCGTAATCACCTTCATCTTGTGCCATTTCTATTAATTTTGATGTCTCATTAGGAAAGCTCGTGGCAGCGCGAAAAGATTGACACTTGGGATTTTTTTCTCGCGTGACATGCTCCAAAAGATGGTTGACCTTATGTAGGACCAGGGTATTTCGGGTCGTCTAAGCCGACTTTTTCTAGTAAGATTGGCAGGAAAATTGGTTTTCAATCAAATGCTTCCAAATTTTACTCAACACTTCTTGAAGTCAATATTCATTCAATCAATAAACGTTTGGCATCCAAAGTTACCGCTAAGGGACGGATTACACATTTTGGGGCAAAATTATTTTGTCATTTTGTCACAAAAAAATTCAATCGTTCTACCAAAATCGGCAGAAAAGAAAGGTGAAATTAACATAATATGGGGATGTAGCATTAATTAAGAAACTAAACTGTATAAAAAATTACCCAAAACTTTGTGGAGAAGAGGTGAAAAAAACTACTTTTCGCGCCGATTGGGGCCATGTTGGGCAAGCATGCATTTTAGTTGATCACATGACCATGAAGTTCAAATCTAAAGTAGATACTGAAATGTTTTGTGTGCAAAGAAACTTTGGTTTTGACCCACAAAACTGCAAATGTCCATATTTTGAATACAAAAATAAACATGTTATGCGTACTAGTATTGTTTTTAAATTGTTTGGCATGGTAATCATAGAATCCCACAGAAGTTGTTTGACACCTTTAATATAAATGGTACGTTTGATTAGCTCAACTGTGTCGGCTCGGGTAAGCAGCCCCTTGCCATTCCATCATTGTCGGGGTTCCTGACTCACTCGGGTCAGCCACCTCATACTGTCGTACAGACCATTCTCGGTGAGCAGAGTCAGTGGTGGAAATACGTCACAAGCATGCGTTTTTCATTCAAAGAAACGGACAAATATGGCGGTCGAATAGTGGAAAAAGATGGAGTTGACCCAGAAATCAGCTTTATTTGAAGTCTAAAAATAAGCCTTTTGAGCTCATTGCGACTTTAGAGTATTCCAGCCCTATTTTGTTACTGTTTGCAATTGACGGACAAGCAGTAAATGTCGATGTCAGACTCAGTTTGTCGTTCTGTCAATGGCTCCCCGTGACTACGGACCGTCACGTTAGGATCATGATGGTCCAAGTTTGAGCGTTCGATTAGCACAACTCTCTTGCCTAACCCGTCTGCCTTTATTACCCGAGTCGATCCGGATGAGCTACTCGAACGCATCCCGTAATTAAGAAAATTCAACAAATTTCATGCTAACCAGAAAAGGTTCAATAAAGGGAAAACAGAGAAAAACGAAATTTCACTCAATACAATGTTATTTACTTTTTTATATTTACCTTATTTAGGACGGATTTGGGTTCTGTTTGTTACATGAGAAAGCAAGTGCATTTTACAATCAATAGTGCTGAAAGAGACACACTATGTTACTTTGATTAATTTTCATTCATAATTTGCTCTGGCTCAAATTTGTTTTTCAATTGGCATGAACAAAACGCATGATAAAAAACATTAACATGTACATTGTGTAGTACATGTACATTGTGTAGTAAAATAAAAGGCATGGTTTAATACAGCGTATAGCAGAAACTGCTTTGTAGTATTGTTTATGAATATTTATATAACAGCATCTTACATTCTCTATAGCCTCTCATGAATACTTCGTTCTTGGAATCTACAGTCAAAATTGCATCTAACAAATTATTTACATATTCTTCTTTGATCAAAACTATGTCATATTTTTAAGTACACAACAAATTCATGACTCATGAATATTCACACTCAGTCTGCCATTACTCATATTTCTGAAGGTTTATTTGCTATGCTAGAAACATCGATTTATTTTTCACAACCATTATTGTTATCAAACGTACACGGGGTGCTCGTAGTTAATAAATCAATGTGTTGCACTTAAAAGTTGTTTATTAAAGTTTCAATCGCTTGCCAATTTATTTTCAACTTGAACTTAATCATCAATCCATAAGAATCTTACCATATTATTACTCTCTTTGTAAGAATATTACAAATTCCTACTCGCTTAGATTCTTATAAGAATCAAGATTTTCTCTTCATCATTTTTATCAATAAATATGTCATGGTAGTCAAAAACCTACTCTTAAATCTGGCGAATTCAAATTTTATCAATATTTGCTTTTAAAGATACTTGGACCGGGCTGCATCAATAATGGCAATTTTCAGGTTTATTAGGCATAACACAAAATATAAATCAGCCATTTGATATATTGAAATCATTACTGAGAGGGAATGATTACATTTATTAGAATGGTAATCATTCTAAGACATGATGGTATTCCTGTGGTCCTAGTTATGGTAATGAGCATGTTAGAATGTGTCATCACAGCTTGTACTTCTGGTGTTGCTGCTCTTCAGCCTGCAGGTGCATGATGGTCTTGTGGTGATTGGGTTCCAGATTAGTCAGTAGCTGGTCAGCGACGCAATTGCGCAGCTTGGCGCCGACCTGCCAGAAAGACAAACATGTAGACTAGAAACAATGGAAGAAGTTCAGTCTGGAAACTATGAATAATTCAAAACTACAAGAACAGTAGACTCTTCCTTAAGACTAATACAGGCAACAACATGTGCGCCTCTCAAGTGCTCCACTGCATATTCCAGCCGCGCCATCACAAAGTGCATTCAGATCAGACTTTTGTTGGTCATTTGGTTGCACAATCGACTGCAGGTACATAAATGACGTCATGAATTGTTTGCATGTGTGACTTCTCAATGGAGTCGCTGGCTCGCGTCCCCACCTGGCTCCCATAAAAAAACAAACGGTCGTATAAACAAAGTGTGACATATCATTATGATTCAGTGCTATTGAGACTTTAATTAGTCACAACGTCACGGGGAAGGAACTTCATGTGTCAATCATTTGCAAGATGAAACAAAATAAATTAACGAAGGAAAACTTCTTACACCTAACCTCTCAATCAAAAGCAACAGATATCATGCTAAAATTATTATCCAGAGCAGTTTCCAAACTATCCTGTTGATTTTGTAATGCATTGATTGAAGTGACTGGAGCCAGAATCAAACAGAATCCAAGTGCTGTATCCAGCCGATACTCACCGTCTTGAGTCACTGTATGATTCGGTCGTACCTCTCATTGTTGGCAAGCGGTAGCCAGGAAGGGTGAAACTTGAATTTCGGACTTTTGAGATAAAGTCATTTTGGGGATATTGGGGGCGCTGTTTGCATTTGATGAACTCTCAAATCCAACCTTACGACCGTTTGTTTCAAAGATAGTTGGATGTGTCTCCAATAAATTGTGCACTTTGGATTCACTTACTTTGACAAAAGGGCGAGTATGGAGATGCATGTCGTGTTGAGCTAGATACAACTGGGCAAAAGAGTATCCAGTTATGACTTTGTCCATCTTATATAGAAAAATGGTGCTAGTGCATGGTTTTCAATGCCTTAAAACAGTAATAACGACAAGAAACTAACTTTTGTGCAGCATTTTTACAACATTATGTACAACCTGTGGTATAAACATAGATTTAATTGATTGTAAAAAAAACCCAGAAAAATTGGAAGACCTATACTGAACTTCCGATCTCATTTTTCCCAAAATGCGTTGGTTTGAGAAGAAAACTTGTCTACATTTCACCACGGATGTGCAAGTGCCCTTTTCAAAAAAAAACAATTACCTCCCCCCCCCCCCCCCAATGAAAATGACCGTTCTACACCACTGCTTTAGACGGCCTGGTTTTTCTCTCTCTGATCCGTAATGATCCTTCCGCAGGTTCACCTACGGAAACCTTGTAGGAAGCCCCATGGGCCACGTCCAGCAGCTATAGCAGCGTGATATTCAGCCGATGGCTCGTCCGTTTGTCGGGGGCATTTTGACACCTTGCAAAACTTCCGATAATGAATATAAACGACCCGCCAAAAGTTTGAATCACAACAGGCGACAGGGGCAGATCCAGGAATGTTCGCAGGGGGAAGGGGGTGGTGTTCTTAAGCAAAAAATCCTGAAATGTAGACTTTATTCTCCGGAAACGTTTGTATCAAAAAATCAATAGGCGGGGATGGGGGGCTCGCACCATATTTTCAATGAAGTCGCTTTTCAAATCCGACGATTATTAACACTAATAGTGTACAAACCAATTAAGCAATAGAATACAAATTCAGTCTGCCTGAATCAAGAAATTGCAAATTGGACGTTGAAACCTATCATTTAATTTGCCTTGAATAGAACTGCTTATGTGGAGTATAAAGCTACAGGGAACAGAAAAACTAGATATTTTTGGGTGGACCTAATAAACATGCTATTTTGCTCTTTATATTCCAAACTCTGACATACTGCCACAAATCTCTGAGAATTGTGAACTTGTTTATGTAACTCCATAAAAGCTGACACGCCCACAGCTTCATCTCAAACCATAGAGGGCAGCACAGACATTCACACCACGCTACCGACCCACTCCACTCACCAGCTTTATTATAGAGGGCAGCACAGGAGTCACCAAGAGATAGAATTGATAGCTAGCCAACAATAGACTTGAATCATAATGACGTCACGGTGTGTTCACATGTGCGGTTTCCTATGAGAGTCTGGTGGGGATGAGAACCACCAAGCTCCCATAAGAAAGGTAATCAAAACGCAACGTTATATTTCAGGTCTATTACACCCTTAGGTAATCTGGAGTGTATGTTCACGATTTAGTAACGCGTTTGTGAGGTCAATGTAATTACTAAAAACATAATGTACAGCATGGGCAAAATACTCCACACTTTCTCGGTTTGGTACATCCTGAATAATAAAGTGAGTTTAACCCTTTCTAGAGGGGCACAATGTGGTGTAATAGCTCTGGAACGTTTGGCCGATCGGCATGACATTTTGTGATTTTTTAGTAAGTACCAAACCAAATTCTGAAGGATATCATTTTTTTTGTATAACAACATGGATATAGGTTATGCATTTTTTTGGTCAAAACTTTGTTTTCTTTGCCTGAGCCTATCAAGTATCGCTTCGAAAAATATGGCCTTTATAGTCGGGGAAAAATCCTTAACATTTTCACTTTTCCGGCTCAATGTTATCGATTTCGGGTGCTTTTTGGATAAATAACAAAATTAATGCTAAGCATGCATAATATTACCGTAAGTTGAAAAATTCAAATTTGTGACAAGATCACGCCTAAAATTTTTTAATTTAAAAAAAATGAACGAAATCTTATATGTTCTTGAATGAAAATAAATAGCCCCACTTCTCAAAATCACGAAAACGAAAACTCTCGGGGTAATCCGATGTCGATGACGTTTGGGAGAAAATTTCCATCCAGAAATGTTCACCCCTAAAAGTAGTCATAAAGCCATCGTCATTTAATAAAAACTGATGAGCAAATTCATGGCCTAATATCACCGAAATTTCACAGATATACAAGGTTGCAATCCTCATCCCGGCTTCCCTCCTATTTTTTTTTTTTTACAAATCCTCAAGTTCATGGCCCACAATTAAATGCTCTAATAACAAAATAATTGAATGAATGCATACAATTTGTGATTTGGCACGCGTTGGCAATTTTGGGCCTATTTACTGGCCTGCACCCATGAGTTGGGGTCGTTGCCTGCCATTCCTGTTTGCAGGGCGGGGGTACGAACGTATGCCTGCCATCACACACACAACTCTGTTGATAAGGGAAAACGTCCCATAGTATTGGCCCTCTACTTGACCAAGTCTCACCTTGAGAGTGCGGCGTGAGGAAATGGGTTCTTCCCATATCGGTTAATGAACAGCTATGCAAGGCTGAATTGTGTTACAAACGCCTCCTTTCTATATTGTTGCACTACATGTATAGGACGCCCACTATTTGTCATTTTGGTGTTTGGTGCATCATATCAAAAAAGGCGGGATGAGTGGGTAAATTGATTTGAAGGAGCAAGTCAAGAGTTTAAGTTTGAGGGGGGGGGGGGGGGCTGGTATATAAATATTGAATGCTTCGAGTGGTGAAGTAAAACTAGCCCCGAGGTGATCCATGGACATTTTATTTTCCCAAGAGGAAGCCGAAGAAAAATAGAATGTTCCATGTTTCACCGAGGGAGGCTAGTTTTAATTCACCACGAGATAAAGCATTCAATATTTGTTTTATAACACTTCACCCACAGATTCTGCTTGGTTTTAATGTCTTAATTTTTTTGAATCTGAACACAGTTGAAATAAACTTCGATTGCAACAAAAACTTGGTGGAAAATGAATATCTCTCTACCAAACTACCCCTTCACGAAATGTTTGAACCCACCTCTGGAGCGCGCACGCTCTCTTTGGAACAATAAACGCGCTACGCACAATGCGCAACGCGTACACCATCTTGCATTTGCACCATAGAGCTTTAAATTTGCACACAAATACCGCGCCGTGGATATACTTTGGTTGCTTATGGTATCCGCTCCGTTCACAAGTACCCCCTCACCGGCAAAAGAAGTACAGTTGGGGGTGCGCGGACACTGCGTGTACATAGAAAAAATCCCCTGGTGTACGCGCGTCACACATAAGGAACGGTGCGCGTCAACAAGCAAAATGTACCGCCTATGGGACGTCGTTGCTAGGTAAAAGGGCGCCCTCTTTTGGTAGCGCACGGAGCTCATAGTACTTTGGTTGCTACGGGTATAGTACTTTTGGCTGTGCACAGAAAGATAGCCAAAATAGAAAGTAACATGTGACTCGCTATCGGCCAATCAAGACACAGAATCTGTGGGTGAGGTGTTATAATACCATCTTCAAATGGGGGCGCTGTTCAAACCGGACGATCATGCACATTATCGGACAATAGATTTTGCTTTTCAGGGTGGCACAATGGACTGATCCAGTAAGCCCCTTCCACTGCGCACGTGGGCAAATTAACACGTGCTCCTCTCCAATGCTACGCTGCATTTTCCTTCCGCGCGCATCATACGCACGTACGTGCACGCATGTCGGACAAAAAGACACTTGTTCAAATTAAAAACAAAGGGGGGGGGGTTAAATACTCCCCTTATACCCCTCCCCTCCCCCTCCCGCTGGCTACGCCTCTGGGGATAGTGTTGATCGTGTGCTGTGATAACCGGTCATGCAAGGCAGTGGTGTGTTATTGGAAGTAGTCATCCCAATCTACCTGGTTTGTACAGAGAACATTCCTCTACTGATGAAAATAAAAAGAAATAGTTCAGCACCATTTCCAATTATGCCTCAATGCTGAGTGTAGTCCCTGTACCATGATACTGGCGATGGGCACACAGCATACAAATATTGAATGCTTCGAGTGGTGTAGTAAAACTAGCCTCCCAAGGTGATCCATGGACATTCTATTTTCCCGAGGCGAAGCCGAGGGAAAATAGAATGGTCCAGGATCATCGAGGAAGCTCGAGGCTAGTTTTACTTCACCACGAGATAAAGAATCTGTGGGTGAGGTGTTATAATATACACTTTATTTAAATGTACATTCTATCAGAAACTGGTAGCATTACCGGCTGTGTGCCACCCGTCTGATCCGATGGGTGACTTTGGCACATGCAAACCAGTTAGCAGATATTATAACACCTCACCCACAGATTCTGTGTCTTGATTGGCCGAGAGCGAGTCACATGTTACTTTCTAATTTTGCTATCTTTCTGTGCACGGCTAAAAGTACTACACCCGTAGCAACCAAAGTACTATACCATTGGCAACCAAAGTACTATTTCCTCGGCGCAGTATTTGTGTGCAAATGGATGCTTGTGTGCGCGTTGCGCGTAGCGCGTATTGTTCCAAAGAGAGCGCGCCGCAGACTTGGGTTCAAACATTTCGTGAAGAGGTAGTTTGGAAGAGAGAAATACATTTTCCACCAATTTTGTATTGAAATTAAAGTTTATTTCAAATGTGTTCAGATTTAAATAATTTTAAATATTGAAATCAAGCAGAATATGTGGGTGAAGTGTTATTAAACAAATATTGAATGCTTTATCTCGTGGTGAAGTAAAACTAGCCTACTTGATGACCCATGGACTATTCTATTTTCCCTCGGCTTCGCCTCGGGAAAATAGAATGTCCATGGATCACCTCGGGAGGCTAGTTTTACTACACCACTCGAAGCATTCAATATTTGAATACAATTTGCACAACTTGTGCCAAAAGCACTCACTATACGAGTTTGCATATGTGACTCTTGTGAGCTGAAAACTTATGCCTACAACTCGTTTAATATGTGTTTTTGTATGCCTACCACAGAACCGGCTGTGTGAAAATAGTACGGTGATAATGCGCACTGATCGAGATACAGAGCACATCTTTACTGTCCTGTGTGTATTATGTTCTTTCTACATGTCAAATGCATGCCAAGCAAGCCCAAGTGGCCACATTTACTATTAGTCAGACATATTTTTGTCTATATAAATTGCTTGAACTCTCTTTTTCAAATTTCTTTAGTTAATTTTGGTCGCAAACTGCTTTTTTAGTCCTTCAACATGGAGATTGGGGTTCATGCTCTCAAACTGACTAACACGGAAAGTGTCCTGTGTATTTGGGTATGTTTATGGATCCATTGAGATGTATTATTATTTCTGAATTACGACTCGGTACAATAAATTGCATGTACCTTTCCTGAGGTTGGAAAGTTTCAAAGACGGTAGGAACCAATGTCTCTGACAATAAAAAAAAGTCGCAGATCAGCAAACATTTATCATAATACATAATTCAACGAGTCACGCGGGTTTCTTATTCCTTATTTCTCACCGAACCACAGCGATGAATCGTCAATACACAAATTATCTTAAATCCCTAGATTACATCAGATCTACCCCCACCCCCCCCCCCCCCCAAAAAAAATTGCTTATACTTCTGCAAATTAAAAACCCCACTCCAGTCCCAACAAAACCAAGAATATCCAAGTCCAGATAGGCTTAAGAATCTGTGTTGTCATAATCTTCTCAATGTGAATTGTGTTGGATTGAATTTCGAGTGAATTGCGGCTCCTCTCCAATGACTGTTGATACAGAGGGAGCCCCTTGAATGCGAAATCTGTTCCAACCAGAAACTACGAAGTTCATGTTGACAGAGCTCGTTCGTTGGATGTAATTTCATACAGCCTGGTAGTGAGACCCGGAAGAAATATGTTGGTACGTTTAAATTTTCAACAAATTTGTTTTTTTCGACATCTAAAATGAGCATGCAATCTGCGTTGACGTTTAAGAAGTTAAAGCACTGTATATTTTTGTGGGGGGGGGGGGGGGGAGAGGGCGCTTTAAAGAATTAATCAAAAGGGTGCTGATTATTTTCATACAGTTAAGTTAATTGTAACTTCATTCACGGTGCATTTAACATGATCATAAAATTGCATAACAGCAATCAGGAACTTTGTTTTTATTGTTTCCAGAGCACGTTTGCTGGATATATTTTCATACAGACTTGTAATAACAACCGGAAATGTTTACGACTTAGTATGCTTACATTGTCTAAGATTTGGTGTTTTTATGGCATGATGTCACACACTTGAAGGTTGTTTTCGTAAACATGCAGTAATGGCCATACCATCTGCATTAACATTTACAACGTGAGACAATCGACGTATTACTTTTGAACTAACACGGAACGTGTCCTTTGTATTTTTGGTAGTTTATGGATCCATTGAGATGTATTATGATTTCTGAATTACGACTCGGTACAATAAATTGCATGTACTTTTCCTGAGGTTGGAAAGTTTCAAAGACGGTAGGAACCAATGTTTGTGACAATAAAATAGTCGCAGATCAGTAAACATTGATCGTATTACATAATTCAACGAGTCACGCGGGTTTCTTATTCCTTATTTCTCACCAAACTACAGCTATGAATCGCCAATGCACAAATTATCTTTAAACCCTTGATTACATCAGATCAACCCCCAACAAAAAAAATAATAGCTTATACTTATTGCACCTGCAAATTAAAACCCCCATCCCAGTCCCGAGGAGACCTATAATATCCAAGTCCAGATAGGGTTAAGAATCTGTGTTGTCATTATCTTCTCAATGTGAATTTTGTTTGATTGAATTTCGAGTGAATTGCGGCTCCTCTCCCATGACTGTTTATACAGAGGGAGCCCCTTGAATTCGAAATCTGTTCCAACCAGAAACTACGAAGTTCATGTTGACAAAGCTCGTGCGTGGGATGTAATTTCATAAAGCCTGGTAGAGAGACCCGGAAAAAAATATGTTGGTACGTTTAAATTTTCAACAAATTGCCATATGATCTTGCCAACTGTCGATGTCATTTCTTGAGGTTGTTTTTTTTCGACATCGGAAATGAGCCTCCAATCTGCGTTGACGTTTAAGAAGTTAAAGCACTGTATATTTTTGTGGGGGAAAGGGCGCTTTAAAAAAATTAATCAAAAGGGTGCTGATTATTTTCATACAGTTAAGTTAATTGTAACTTCATTCACGGTGCATTTAACATGATCATAAAATTGCATAACAGTGCAGTGCACGCTTTTTTGAGGTAAACACAGCACTGGCGTGTCATCTGTACAGGGGGAGTAAAACAAAGAAAAAAGGAAACCAAAATGGCAGGACCAAATATTTAATGAAGCTCTGCATATAGCACCTTCTCTTTCAGCAAAACGAACACAATTCACATGGGAATGTATGTAAATTGTTTTCGAATAATAAGGGAATAAAAAATGTGTTTGGCCGGGCACATTATTTATTACCAGTCACCGATACCTTTTTGGTCAATAAAATCAAAATAAGTCAAATATAAATAAGTCTTCAACAATTTTATTCAACAATTGTACCTCTTGTTTTGAGTAACACCCCCTGACCATGTCTATTGTACGTGCCTCGCGCGCGTAGTGCCAACAATTCCTTACATGGAGATTGGTGCGCAGGCGGCGCGAACCGTGTGATGTGCCGCAGAACGTAGAGGTGTTTTACCGGCGCTTTAAAACCACCCACGTGTCAGGGTAAACTGTCTTAGGTATATTATACTGCACTGGGAGATGGCTTTAATATGTGCAGGCTAATAGTTCTTGAACCAATATATGAAACACCATCAACCATTATGGAATGACTAAATTTCATTCTTTGGCCTCACAAGGGCGCCTCACGTTAAGACAAAGCAAAGGGCAAATGGCGTCCAAAACAGTACATACTTTGTCGATTTTAGTCTATTTTAGAATGGCAAGAACGTCTGGCATTGTCAGCGTATCTCTAACAATAATTGCCACTTATTTTCCATTTTAAAATTCTTACTAAATCACGCCATTAAGAATTGTCTACAATTTGTTGCATGCCAATTTATCTGAGGTAAATGAAAGTCATTGAAATGCGAGCTTAACGGTAAATGTGTTTAAAAAACCAAGTATGATTCTGGTCTTGAATGCATGTCGTTGGCTCGTACTTTCATTGCATATTAATAAAACAATGTGTGTTTGTTTGGACGAAGACCCTCGAATCTGAAATCCGGTTCAAAACCAGGAACTCTGTTTTTATTGTTTGCAGAGCACTCTTTGCTGGATATATTTTCATACAGACTTGTAATAACAACCGGAAATGTTTACGACTTAGCATGCTTACATTGTCTGAGATTTGGTGTTTTTTATGGCATTAAGTCACATACTTGAAGGTTGTTTTCGTAAACATGCAGTAATGACCATACCATCTGCGTTAACATTTACAACGTGAGACAATCGATGTATTACTTTTGAAGTATCTTAAACCCGGATGCTTGATACTGTAAACACCCTCTGAATCCGCCTTGACTCAACTCCTAAAGACCCCCCCCCCCCTGGCCCCGGCGTCAATCCTCCTCACGCGTGCCAAGTTACTTCATTGGTTTAGCCTTATGGACCAGACGTTATTTGTGGATGCAGTGTTATTCATAAAACCAAATTCGTTTCCTTAAAGGATCATCCGCATAATCATCAAATGTTGTGTGGTGTACTGTGAACGTCTTGTACAAAAACTAACCATGCTGGTGTTTACGTGACGTTTGCAATTTTGGAACTTTGCCGGTGTGGGGAAGTTTGTTTACATTATATTCATGGTTTTTTTTTTTTATATTTATAGACACTTCGACTCTATATAACACCAAACCTTGAGTGTAAGAGCAGAGACAGTTCTAAAGGTGTCGCACCGCATCCATCGCGTGAGACAATTGTTGCAGGAGATTTTCTGAGCGAATCAACTTCATACAAACAGCAATGATGGCATCGACTTGGATTCTTGCTGTGCTTGTGGTCACCATATTGTGCCGTAAGTATGACAATCAAGAATTCATGAAACGAAATTAATGGTTGTATTTTTTATTGTCCAGAGCATTGGTATACTTTTGTATCAATCGTTTTCTTTAAGTAGTTATCTTTAATTAACGCGATAAAAGTTCGTTATGTGTGTTGAATTTACTTTAGAATATTTTTTTTATGCTTGATAAGCTCAATGGATCACGGACCGTAGGGGTCTATTCATGAAGTAGTAAAACTGTTTCGTCTTTCTTGAATTTATTACTCAAACACATGCCTGTACCTGTCTCTTACATACGTCAAAGATTGCTTGTTTAGCATTTTCACCTCAAAACATTAAACGATGTTTCATCCATAATTAAGAACTATACCTTGATAGAAATGAGCGCTTATCATAGTACGTGTTTTCATCCGGTGTTTTATGAGTTCTAATAACAAGTGCGAGTGCATAATAAGCTTTGGCCGTGTTGCAAGAAGTCTTGCATGAAAGTCTTGCATGAAATCGATCAAAATGATCCCTGCCAGAGCTTAAAAATGCGACGCCGACAAATGCGACGCCGATGGAACATAATGGAACCCCATACTTTTGGTCAATTTTCGGGGACAAACAGACAGACCGACCAACCACCAAGTGATATGAAGAAGCTCCCTGCAGTGGCAGCCTCGTGTTTGTATCTTCGGTGAATTGCCAGTAATTTCGTTTGTTGAGAATTGAATTTTCGTATCTTTTTAGTCTTTTTAGTCTTTTCGTATCTGTTAATAAAACTCATGATCCCCAAAATGCGTCGGCATTGGCTCTTAGAAGCCCGAAGAAACTTAGGAAGAGAATAAACCAACGCTCCGTTTTAGACTGACGTAGGAGATAAAACTCTGGAAAGATATTCAAACCCAATTCACCTGTTGGCGTTCATGGGTGGGATTCGAGCCCTAGTCACAGAGATGAAAGGCGAGTACCGTGCCCAACAGTCTGATCCAGCCGAGTGTAGTGATTTCTAGCTATTAGCATGCCTGAACTGTGCACACTTCACCAATCATGATTTGTGTTTTTAATTGTTTTACAGAACTCTCCTCATGCCACCCTGTCAGTGGCGGATCTGGACCTACCCGTGTAGGACACTCATTTTCTTCAGGTAATTTACCAACCATTAAACTTAAAGGACACAATTCCTTAGCCCTTTCAGGACCGATATAGGGGCGCAGTATGCCCCTCCGATGCTCATTATAATTGCTGCGGAACGCCATGAAATGTAATGATATTTGGGCCACTATGGTATCCAAACAATTCTGTGGACATCACGGTTGCCGTGTCAACTGATTGAAAACCTTAGTTTTATAAACTTGGGTCCTTTTCTTATAAAACCATGGAAATGTGCAATTTATGGATAAAAAAATACTTCGACCAAATATATTAGCTTAACATTAAAATTCATGGACACGCGATAAACTACAATGCCGAATGAAGAAATACCAGGCAGTAATAATCAGTATATCGTTTGTTTCGATTTTCGGTTAAACATGATGACCTTATTCTAAAAAAAGTCAGTAAAGTGATAAAAATTGACAAGACAATTTGTACCAATTTGGAAGCATTTAAATGAAAAGTGTATGTGTTATGTACAAAAAAGGCCTTTTACAGCATAGTATGCGGCTTGTTAAATCCCCATGTTGCATGCATATTTCATCTGACACACTATGGACAATGTTCACTTCACATCAAAATGTTGAGATTTATGCATGTGGGTTTTGTGCAATAACGCTCATAAAATGATGATTAATTAAGTAACGTTTTCCTGTGCGAGTAGATATTGGGGGCGCCGACAGACAAACCTCAACTGTCTAGTGACTTGTTCTTAAGTCTAAAGGTTTCTCAAAACCTTACTCTGGCCCAATATGAGGATTATCCACCACCAGCGACGCCAGTGCAGTCGAGCCGCATTAAGTCCTGATTTAACCTGTTGAATTAGTGAATAATTAATTCCTTATTATTTCATTAGCACCATGCAGCCCCAAGGCATTGGGGATGGAAGATAGAAGTATCCCCGATAGCAGCATAACGGCATCGTCCACCCTCGGTAGTCCCTATCTCCCAATCGCCGCTCGACTTAATGTAGGTAGGTATCGTGTCCTTTCTATAAACAACAATCCTGTATAAATACATGGTGAGTCACAAATAAATTTAAAGTGACCTAAATTAATTAGTTTCCCATTAAAAGCAATTACATTTTATACACCAATGAGCGTGTATTAAACGAGAATTGTCTTCCACTTATGAAAAAAGGGAATTACTGAAATTGATCCATACTGTCAGAACTTATGCATACATGTTTTATTAAAAGAACCCATTTTAACAGCCGTCCGTGAATTGCTATTGCGTAGAAGCTATCAGCTGATTGAACCCGAGATTACACATGCACAGGTATTCAAATACAAATGACTCAAGTCAAGTCTCTCAAGACTTAATCATTAGTTTATGTCAGACAATGTGTTTTGCATATGAAGAACAAATCAAGTCTGTTCCTCCAAACGATGATGGTGATATTTGTCTGTTTTCCTGTGCAAGTTTTCGTTCTTTCATGGAGGTAGGAAAACCCCATGGATCATTGTATTTCAAACGGTATTCATTCCATGCGTATTGGTACATGATCAGTGGTGCATGACTGAATATTGGGGTATTTCAATTAAAATTTAGTGATGAGAGTATGCAAATGACGTGACATTTTCCCCGTTACCAGTCAAAAACATGTACTATAACTATTTTATTTTTACAACGTGGAGCGAGCCACATCAGTACTGTTTAATTTTTGTTTTTCTAACTCGGTCACCATGTAATGTTGTGTGTTTATATTATGGTAAGCCTGTAGGATGATATTAAACATATTTATGTTGTATGCGGTTGCTTCTAATGGTAAATTTAGTCATATGTTTTTCTGCCCATGCTTCCTTGCTTATCCCAGCAGTGCTGTATCATTAGGGCCCAATTACTTGGCGCTGCTTAACGGCAGCAAAGACTATATATATCAGAACATTTCAAGCTAAGAAAAGCGCAAACATGATTTGGTGAGAAAAAGTATGGTTTCACACGGCTTCTTCTAGACTATTTGCTCGCAGGTTTGGCGCAGAGTTTCGTACTATAATATACGCTGTAGGCACAGAATGGTGACCATAGACTTCGGTAATTAGCATCAACATGAAATTAATGGACCAAAATTGTCTTTCAGTGGATTTGCTAACACGGATATTCTCTTTATCGTTTCATTACACAAAACTCCATCATGAGGGCCAATTTTAGAAGCGCGGCGTCGCGTGGTAATAAACAGTTTGGTGAAGAAAAACTCGGAACTATGTAAATTCATCCTGACGATTAGTGAAATGTGACGGTATGACCAAGCTCCATATATAAACCCACCCAAGCGGTGATTGGTCAGAATGCAGGTTTATTTTGGAAAATCAGCACCAGTTTTCACCAGCACTGCGGTTTATCGCTCGCGCTACCTCGCGGTATATACTGCTTGCTGAAATTGCCGATTGATTGTTTTATATTTAGATAAAAATTATGTTCGTCGGAATTACATGTGACCGTAGTTGTTGAAATAAATTCGACGTTTCGTAGCTGAAATACTCCGACCATGCACGGTTTCCACTCGCCGCTTCCACAATATAAACGTCAAAAGAAGATTAGCCTCCAGATTCTAGGTGTTAGTTCTGAATTTGCACATTATTTTCACATTGGCACATTTCCTATAACGATAAAAATGAAAACATTCTATCATGTCCAACAGGAAGTAATGGATGGATACCAAGCACTCCAGCAGATCAGTGGATCCAGGTTGACCTGGGTAAACCCACGGTGGTTACCGGGCTCACCATGCAAGGATACGCCACAGGAGCCGGTTATTATGTCACGGCATTTTCAGTCCAGCACAGCCTCACAGCCGAGTCGGATGACTGGCAGAGTTTAGCCAATGCCGACGGTGGAGCAATCAGAGTGAGTTACAGAGGGCGCTTTCCAACAGCATCGTTTGCCTAAACACGTTAGTTCCAAATTGGAACCAAGATATTTCATGTAGAGATTTCGATTGAATTGAAAAACCAAACTAATTATTATTTCTTTTCTTCTCATCTCTTCAAGTCGATAAATATAATTCTTTGTCATTCCATTTCATTAGTGTCAAGGTGAACGATATGTTATTTAATTTAACTAGCTGTCTTTTGGAGTTTCTTTGAATTATTACCTGATTTGTGACAACATTTCATAAATCTTCAGTTAAAATCGTGCGATTATTTTCATCCTTTAATCTCCTCCATCACCATTCATGACAGGAATTGTGAGTGAAAAGACCAAAGCGCTGATTCGAATAGAAAAAAAGCAGAATATCCACCTGAGACGATTGTTCCGAAGCTGGGACTAATTAGAATACTAAATGTGTAGATCATCAATCTGCGAAAAGGATATCTATCGGTGGAATTTGAAGCAGACATTAATACAATCCAGTCCAACGATGTTGTGGATTGAAATATAAATGATTTATGCTCCTATCGTTTGGTTTTTATAATGGAACTGGTAAATGCAACTGGGAAACCTGTATTAACTAAATTACTATATTCGATGGTAACTGTAGCGATAGCTAAGCAAAGGCAAACTATTTTCCAAGCTGTATCTGTGTATGCCTATAAGGGAAAACCATTATGCAACATTTTTCTGTGCCGGCATGTTTCGGAATGTTCGAAATGAAAAATGCACACTAATCCTGCTTGTACTTGCTTTTTGGTGTTTTTTTTAGTTCACCTTGAGCAGTGGTCGGACGACGAATGTCACCTTTCCTGTGCTACCCATAGCAAGGTTTATTCGCATACTACCCCTGGCCTGGGATCATTCTAGTTACAGAGTGAGGTTTGAGGTATTCGGGTGCCAAGGTACTTAACGAACGCTATTGATTCGTTAAAGAATAATCACATTTAGCAAAGTCATCATTTCGTTCAAAATTATTTAAAGATCTTTAAGACATGACATTTTACAGCGTTAATGCTGAATAATAATAATATCATCTGCACAATGTCTTCCCATTGCATTCAAATTAGTTCAGTAATATTTTTTTGTAATGGACAACACAATTTCCTGAAGTTCGATAACAAATGTTTTTTCCCCATTACATACGTTGTATTTTAAATCAAATAAAACAAAACGAGTGAAGCTGATATCACAATTGATTGATAGTTTAATGTTTTTAACTTTTCTAAATTGCAGTCGTTCTTATAGTTTAATTCAAACTGTCAAACTATTTTACAGTCCCAGATGGTTATGTGAGGTTGGTGAATGGCAGTGATGCTTTGCGTGGCCGAGTGGAAATCTACCACCACGATACAGCATCCTGGGGAGCGGTGTGCTCTAATGACTGGGGGATAAACGACGCAATCACGGTGTGCCGTCAGCTGGACCTCGGTGCTGCAATCCAGGCCAACACAGCCTCAGAATACGGGAGAGGTGACCTGCCGATCATGATGAGCCGAGTCGCCTGTGAGGGGACGGAGAGCCGACTGGCCGACTGCCCGTTTGTCTGCACCAACTACCAGCAGTGTGAAAGCTCAAACGTTGCCGGAGTATTTTGCTACCCAAAAAGTAGGTGCCAGTTTTAGTCCGCCTGATATAACTGAATGTTGTTCCATCTTCTTATCAAAATTAAATGTTTGGCTCATTAGGCGTGTTTTTATTCATTCCTTGGTGGATTTAATGTCACAGTACTTTTTGATGATGTTCACTCCTCCGTTTTTACTGGATTCCGATATTTTTTCCCTGTACTATACTTGTGTTATACTTTTTGGAATGATCCCGAGTTTGTTTGTTTCAGTTTTTTCTTGCGAATTTTATGGGTTTTTTCACCTCAAACCGTTTATTCGATTTTTCTCCAGCTATCTGTTTGGAATTGTAGGCTACGGTTAACCATATTCATAAAAAAATGGTCATGTTCCGATATTTCAACCAGATAATTTGAAGTAGCGAAAATATTTTTGTCCATAAAACAGCTATTTTGGCCTTGTTTACATTTTAATTAATTTATAACAATGAATGCATAAATGTCTTCTAAGTCTTCGTAAACATTATGAAACAAAAGTCTGTTGTCATGTACATGTTATGTTGAATGAGCTTTATTCACTCCTTGAATCGTACTTGAAACAGATACTGTTCGGTTGGAGGGAGGCTCCAATGACTTCAGTGGCCGGGTAGAGATCTTCCGAAACTACACGTGGGGAACGATCTGCGACCGTGGCTGGGACGCCACGGATGCCGGGGTGGTCTGCCGACAACTCGGGTACAGCGGCGCCGTGGAAGCCAAGTCCGGAGCGCACTACGGGGAAGGAAGCGGCCTCATTCATATGGAGGGCGTGGCCTGTACTGGCTCAGAGGAGGGACTCGCTAACTGCCCGTCCCTCTGCTGGACAGCATCTACCTGCAGCCACAGCCGAGATGCCGGGGTCATCTGCAGTGTCGGTAGGAACACAGACAGTTTTTGATTCATCTCAAGAAGCAACGTTAAAACATGACTTCGTGAATTTGGCATCTGCCAGTCTGCTTTACAATCACAGACAAAGCACAAACAATGAAACAAAGTAAAAGCAGCTGCTGAAATTTAAAGGTATGTTAATACACAAAAACCACTGAGGTCTCACTGAATTCGAAACTACTTGGTTCATCATTTCCGATATCAGTGTTTTAAAAACACAATCAAATATTTTAGAAAATAAATCACGTGTGGCATCATGAGTCTTTACAAACTCATCGAGGTTATTATCAGGTGAAACGCGTGCATTTTGGGAACCCTATTGGTCAAAGGAGCATTAAGATCGCGTCTAATTAAATTTATTGGATAAGTATGTTGTGAACATCATAACTATGACTGTATTTGAATTGATTTTTTTTCGTTACTTCAGAAGACTAGTGGTTCTGAAGAAACCAACCCCAAGTGACGGGAAACTGGACTGGCTTCAAGCAGTTCCTGCGATAGCCCTGCCTTTAGGCTACAAGTAGTTATATACTCCGTTGTGTATTAAATGTATTATTGAATTCGTAGTGTAATCACCTTCATCCTGGGCCTTTCTTTTAATTTTGACGTATCATAAGGAAAGTTAGTAACTTGGGCCACGCCTAGCTACCGCTAGAGGTCGCCATACAAATTCTTAGGCAAAATCATTTTGTCATTTTGTCACAAATTGTGAATCTCTCTACCTAAGGCATTTTGTTTAGAATGAAAATGAACTTTGTGACGAATAGGTGAAAATAGAAAGCTGCTTTTCTCGCCAATGGGAGCCATGTTGGCCAACATGCATTTTAGTTGGTCACATGACCATAGTTTTCACATCTAAAGTGGATATTTGATAGTTTTGTGCAAAGAAAACATGGTTTTGACCCACAAAAATGCGAATTTCCATACTTAAATACAAAAATAAACATTGTATATACGTACTAGCACTTTTAAATTGGTTGCCATGGTAATAATGGAATTTCACAGAAGTTGTTTGACACCTTATAAAGGGTGCGTTCGGTTAGCTCACCTGGGTCGACTCGGTTTAACCCCGTGCCGTTCGATAAGCTCTGACGTCATTCTTGGGGCTCACCCTGGTCAGCCACCACATACCCTGGTCGTGGAGCAGTGGTGGAAATACGTCACACGCATGCGTTGTTCATTCCAAGAAACGGACAAATATGGCGGTCGAAAAGTGGAAAAATCGATTACACAATCATCACGACCATGACTCTTCGCTTCACATTCACTATCGTGTTTCTCCTCCAACTGTACCAGCATCTGAATACTCCAAGGAATACTTGGACATGGAAACCTGGTATTCCTGCAAACCGATTGCTACCAAATCGTCACTTCTCAAGCTCAAGTGAACCCTGCTGCAGTAAATTCAAACCGAACCATCTCTGCACCGTTTTGGCACTATTGCTTTCTGGCGACATTCATCCCAATCCCGGACCTCGTGGAAAACAGGCTAATATTTATCCCTGCGGTCTATCTGAGTACCCAGTAACTTGGAATTGTGAAGGAGTAGCCTGCGATGACTGTAGTATTTGGTTCCACCAGTCATGTATTGAATTGTGTTCTGCAGACTTTGAATTGCTAAACCACTCCACCGCTCAATGGAAATGCCATAAATGCAGCAGTGTTAACTGTGGCAGCTTCACCTTCCATAGCTACGAATTTGATTGTTCAATCAATTATTACCTACCTCATCTGGATCCCGACACTTCAGTGAATACTCTTCTTTCCGACCACAACTTCAGCCCACTTCAGACAAGTAGCCCAACAACAGACAGAAAACCAGACCAAGCTCAAAGTACCCAACATCTACAGCCTAACTCAACTCCATCGCTACCTGCAGATAGTTACTCAATGTATTGCTTACCCAATAAGCAAAATCTGAGAATAATGACCGTGAACTGCCGTAGTGTGTTAGCCAAAAGATCCGAACTTGCCGCAGCCATGGAAAAATAAAAACCTGATATCGTCTGCGGAACTGAATCCTGGCTTAGTGGCATCAAGCCTGGTCAAAACCCATCTGAAGGATACATCAAATCTAGCGAAATTTTCCACGATAACTTCTTTGCATACTGAAATGACCGCAGTGCTCTGGGAGGGGGTGTTTTATACTTGTTCGTCGGAACTTGATCTCAATTGAACAAGCGGAACTTGTTACAAACTGTGAATTAGAATTGGTAAAGGTTAAACTCCAAAATAGCAGGGAACTATTGATCGGATGTTTCTACATACCTCATCAAAATGCCAGTGACATAAATGAACTCAGCAGATCGTTGAAAAAACTAACAATAAACGGGCTCTCAGATAAGCATATAATCCTCGCAGGAGATTTCAATTGCCCGAACATTGATTGGGACAATTGCACTGTCGACCCAAGAAGCAGTGACACGCACATACAACAAAACTTAATTGACATCACCGCCCATTTGTCACAAGTCCACATGTTACCTACACGCGGGGACAACTTGTTGGACTTAGTGTTCACATCAAACTCCTCCTTGGTGAAGTCTTCAGTTTGTGCGGCAGGCAGGATGTATTACTAAAATGCTACAAACCATGAAATTACTATCCCTTCCGGAAAGACGAAAGCAACTACGCCTGATACTCCTGCACAAGGTAGTTGCAGGGCTGGTACCGGCCATCCCCTCACATCTATACCTTACACCCAGAAAACAAGGCAGAAAAATTCGGCCAGGAAAGATTGACGGTACATCCTCATCGAATACCATAGCAAGCTCCATCGCGATAAACTCCAAGTGCTTCAAAGTATCGTGGTGCAACACAGATCAACTTAAAAACTCATTCTTTACCAAATTAGTTATTGACTGGAACCATCTTGAGGAAAACCTTGTTCAAGCCGACTCGGTCAAGAGGTTTAAAACCCTCCTCGGCCACGGACCTCACTCAGTGTAACATATCCCAGCGTACACCCTCTCTCTCCGTTGCGTTAATGCCTGAGTGGGTTTCTGCAACGTACCCATTCAGATTACAGATAAACATAGGCCTATTGAGCTCATTGCGACTTTAGAGGTTGTAATTCCAGCCCATCTTTGTTACTTTTTTTTTGCGATTGACGAAAAAGTAGTGAAAATCAAAGTTAGACTCATATTCAGTTCGAAACGGGCCTTTTGTCAACTACGACGCCGCGGCTACGGAAATCACGAGAGGGTTTACGGTGGAGCGATCGATTAGCACGACTCTCTTATTAGCCATATAACCCGTCTGCCTTTATACCGGTGACGATCTGGGTGAGCTACTCGAACGTACCCTATAATAAGTAAAGTCACTACATTTCATGCTGATCAACCAAGACATTCCAGAATGTTATTTGTTTATAATGTGGGCACATGGTGTTTAGTTTAAAGAAGGGGAAACAGAGAAAACTGAAATTCACTACATACGATGATTTACTTTTTGATTATGTCATTGAGGACGGATAGGGTTCCTTTTTGTTACATAAGAAAACAAGTGCATTTACAATCAATAGTGCTGATGGCCCAAGCACAGGTACTTTTCACTTCATAATACAACTGAAGTAGGTCACATTTTTGTATCTAAAAAGACATACTACGCTATTATGATTAATATTCATTCATAATTTTCACTTGCTCAGTTATATTTTTTCAATTTGCATGAACGAGACGCATGATGAAAAGTATTTACACTCAATCAATTTAGTCAATTACAAGGCATGTTTTAATACAGCGTATAGCAGAAACTGCTTTGTAGTATTGTTTATGAATATATAATATAAAAGTATCTTACGTTCGCCATAGCCTCCCGTGAATACTTCGTTCTTGGAATCTACAGTCAAAATTGCATCTTATACCAAAATATTTACACATTTTTCCTAATCAAAACTTTTTAATAATTATTTGTGTTTAAGTACAAAAATCATGACCTCATGAATATTCAAACGCTATTACTCATTTCGGACGGCTTATTGTGTTATCCTAGAAACTTCGAGTCAATTTTAGCAATCATTGTTCTTATCAAACCTACACAAGATGCTTGTAGTTAAATCAATTTGTTGCACTTATTAAAGCTGTTAGTAACATTCGAAAGTTTCGATCGCTTGCCAATTTATTTTAAAAATGTAATCATCAATCTATAAGAATCTAACCATATTCTTGCTCACTTTAAGAATCTTATAAGATTGTTATAAGAATTAAGATTCTTATGAGAATCTTATTCAGATCTTATAAGTTAAAATCGTACTGGATGATTTTAATATATAATTAACTCTTCATCATTGTTATCAATAAATATGTCATGGTAGTCAAAGACGTATTCTTACATCTGGCGAATTCAAATTTTCATCGATATTTGCTCTTAAAGATAGTGGACCAGCCACAATGACAATTTTCAGGACGATTAGGTTAAACAGAAATAAATCAGCCGTTTGATTTGAAATCATAACTGAAAGGGAATGATTAATCTCTCTAAGAAATGATTATATTCATGTGGGCCTAGTTATGGTAATGAACATGTTAGGATATGTCATCACAGCTTGTACTTCTGATGTTGCTGCTCTTCAGCCTGCAGGTGCATGATGGTCTCATGGTGATTGGGTTCCAGATTAGTCAGTAGCTGGTCAGCGATACGATTGCGCAGCCTGGTGCTGACCTGCCAGAAAGACAAACATTTAGAGATGGAAACAATGGAAGAAGTTCAGTCTGAAACTATGAATAATTTAAAACTTCAAGGACAATAGACTCTTCCTTAAGACGTATGCAGGCAACAACATGTACCCCTCTCTAGTGCCACACTGCATATTTCCAACCACGCCATCACAAAGTGCATTCAGATCAGACTTGTGATGGTCATTAATTTGGTTGAACAATAGACCGGGGACATAATGACGTCATGATTTGTTTACATGTGTGTCTTTCCATGGGAGCAATTACTGGCTCTCGTCCGCTCCTGGCTCCCATAAAAAAAACCGCTTGTATAAACAAAGCATGACATATCATTATGATTCCGTGCTATTGAGAATACCCCGTTCTCCCACAGTACATTCAGGATTTAATTCTAAAATGCCATAACATGGGGCTTTAAATACAATTTACTGTCATTGTCATGCAGGCGAGGATCAACATAATATTTGGGGGGGGGGGAGGAGGTCAAACCCCCTGCTCTGACACAATAAAGTAAAGCAGTTCTGCAGCGGTTAGTATATCTGACGGGTCTGAATCTGACGGGTCTGAGCCCCCCCCCCCCTCTCCCACAATATGAATTGTCCTATCTACTTGTCGATATTTCACTGTGCAACCGCACTACTTTGTCGATCACCGTGGGATGACCGCGCCGGTGGTCAAAAGACCACCAGGGCGGGAGCCGGACCGATGGGGGGGGGGGGGGGGGGGGGGGGGGGAGGGGGGGGGGACCGGGCGACTCTCGGCGGCGGTTCCAAAACTCCCGCCTACACCCGGAAGACAGCACGGTGGCAGGCCCCTCCGGAGCGGGGGCCGGCCGGGGACAACCAAACCTCGGCTCCTTGGACGGCCGGGTTTTTCTCTCTGAGCGGTAATGATCCTTCCGCAGGTTCACCTACGGAAACCTTGTTAGGGAAGCTTTACGGGCCACTTCACAACAGCGTGATATTCAGCCGATGGCTCGTCCGTTTATAAATGGTATTTTGACACCTTGCAAAACTTCCGATGATGAATATAAACGACCCTCACAACAGGCGACAGGGGCGGATCCGGGAATGTTTGCACTGGGGGGGGGGGAGGGGTGGTGTACATCAACAAAAACCCTGAAATGTAGACTTTTTTCTGGAAACTTTTGTATCCGAAAATCAATAGGTGGGGGTGGGGGGCTCGCATATGGCGAGCCAAAGTAACATTTATATAGCATTAGCAAAGTCATCTATACTACAATTCAAGGAATCTCTGTCTGTCTGTCTGTCTGTCTGTCCGTCTGTCTGTCTGTCCGCCGATTATCTCCAGAACCGGGCACCGTATGGAGTTGAAAATCGGCGGGTGCATTGCTCGGGACAACAGAATGTGCAGTGCCGAGTTTGAAGTAGTTTGGACGAGGGGTTCTCGAAAAAGCTGCAAAAAAGCAGTATTTTCTGAAGCCTAGCGCGCCAGAATATAGCCTAGAACTCCGCGCACTGCTGTTCTTTTCAATTGTTTACGTCATGTTAAAGCAAGAGCGCGCGTGCTCAATATGACGCAAACAATGCAAAAAGGACGGGCACGCACACGTGCATTGTAGGGCGATACCATTGTCCAATATGGGTGAATAGCACTGCGTACCATATGTTTCCGTACGTGATGACTGCACGGGCACATGCATTTTGCAGTCGATTGAACCACTATTGTAGGCGGTGGATTGAGCAACCTTACTCGCGTAGGTGAGTAGCTGCACGGGCGTATTGGTGAATATCAGTGCCGGGGATGGCCTGGCGACATGTACAAAGTGCGCGCAACCTATGAGTGTGAGTTTAACCTGTAAAAACAACACAATTGAATCGTGTGCGTTGTTTGCATGATATGAGCATTTTGGAATTGCCCCTAACGAACAGGTGCTTTTTTTTGACGGGCCCTGCAAAAATGACGGGCACATTGTAGGGCGATAGCACTGCACACCATGTCTTCGTACGTACATATACGTGAGTGGCATGCACGGGCACATGCATTTTGTACTCAACTGAGCAACCATCACTGCACTGTATGTGCCAGGGGGGGGGGGGGGGGGGTGACGACATTTTGTGAGTTTAACTTGCGAGTGTGCGTTCACACCATTGAATAATGTGCGTTGTTTGCACGAGCTGCAGTTCTCAACTGCCCCTTCCGAACACGCACATTTTCGACTGGCCCTGCACTAGTCTATACTACAATTCAAGGAATCTCTGTCTGTCTGTCTGTCTGTCTGTCCGTCTGTCTGTCTGTCCGCCGATTATCTCCAGAACCGGGCACCGTCTGGAGTTGAAAATCGGCGGGTGTGTTGCTCGGGACGACCGAATGTGCAGTGCCGAGTTTGAAGCGGTTTGGACCAGCGGTTCTCGAAAAAGCTGCAAAAAAAGCAGTATTTTCTGAGGCAAACGCGCCAGAATATAGCCTAGAACTCGGCGCGCACTGATGTTCTTTTCAATTGTTTACGTCATGTTAAAGCAAGAGCGCGCGTGCTCAATATGACGCAAACAATGCAAAAAGGACGGGCACGCGCACGTGCATGCGCACGTGCATTGTAGGGCGATACCATTGTCCAGTATGGGTGAATAGCACTGCGTAATATATGTTTCCGTACGTGATGACTGCACGGGCACATGCATTTTGCAGTCGATTGAACCACTATTGTAGGCGGTGGATTGAGCAACCTTACTCACGTAGGTGAGTAGCTGCACGGGCGTATTGGTGAATATCTGTGCCGGGGATGGCCTGGCGACATGTACAAAGTGCGCTCAAACTATGAGTGTGAGTTTAACCTGTGGAAACAACACAATTGAATCGTGTGCGTTGTTTGCATGATATGAACATTTTGAAATTTCCCCTAACGAACAGGTGCATTTTTTGAAGGGCCCTGCAAAAATGACGGGCACATTGTAGGGCGATAGCACTGCATACCATGTCTTCGTACGTACATATACGTGAGTGGCATGCACGGGCACATGCATTTTGTACTCAACTGAGCAACCATCACTGCACTGTATGTGCCGGGGGGGGGGGGGTGACGACATTCTGTGAGTTTAACTTGCGAGTGTGCGTTCACACCATTGAATAATGTTCGTTGTTTGCACGAGCTGCAGTTCTCAACTGCCCCTTCCGAACACTCACATTTTCGACTGGCCCTGCACTGGCCCTGCCCCAGGCACAGGCATTTTGTAGTCAACTGAGCAACCATCACTGCACTGTATGTAGGCGGTCGACTGAGCAACTCTAATACAATATGGTATCGCCCTACAACTACGCCCTACAGTTGTTGGGCGGTACCATATTGTCCAGTAGCGTTAAATATCAGTGCCAGGGGGGTGACGACATTTTGTGCGTTTTAACTTGCGAGTGTGCGTTCACACCATTGAATAATGTGCGTTGTTACACAAGCTGCATTTCTCAACTGTCCCTTCCGAACACGCACATTTTCGACTGGCCCTGCACTATAATTCCAGGAATCTCTGTCTGTCTGTCTGTCCGTCGATTATCTCCAGAACCGGGCACCGTATGAAGTTGAAAATCGGCGGGTATATTTTTCGGGACAACAGAATGTGCAGTGCAAAGTTTGAAGTTGTTTGGACCAGCGGTTCTCGAAAAAGCTGAAAAAAGCAGTATTTTCTGAGGCAAACGTGGCAGTATATAGCTTAGAACATAACACCCGCACGCCCTGCCGTTCTTTTCAATTGTTTACGTCATGTTTAAGCTAAAGCGCGCGTGCTCAATATGACGCAAACAATGCAAAAAGGACGGGCACGCGCACGTGCATTGCAGGGCGATACATTGTCCAGTATGGGTGAATACTAATGGATCAATGGGTGAATAGCACTGCGTACCATGTTTTCGTATGTACACGGGCACATTATTTTTGCCGTCGACTAAGCGACCATTGTAGGTGGTCGAACTTGAAACTTGGCAAAAATGTTGACGTAAGTGTGCGTTCAACCTGTGAAACCAACACCATTGAATCGCGTGCGTTGTTTGCACGAGCAGTTCTCCAAAACTCTGCAATGATGCAACCTATACCAGCGGCAAAGCTATTTGCGTTTCCCGAACATGCGCATTTTAGACGGGCACTGCACTAGTTACAACAATTTAGTGCTATCGACGATGTCTGTTATGTATTAAAAGATATCTCTAAAAGTTTTAGAGATATCTTTAAATCATTTAAAGATATCTCTAAATGTTTTAGAGATATCTCTAATCATTTCGAGATATATGTATCTTTAAATCGTGTTTTAATTTGCGCAGCATTGAGCTATTGTTAAAATGTTGGTAACAAAATTATTTAAATTATTTAAATTATTTAAATATTTAGAGATATCTCTAAATCATTTAGAGAAATCTTTAAATTGTTTTAAGACTTTTTTTATGCTATATAAATGTTACTTTGGCTCGCCATACTCGCACCATATTTTCAATAGGGTCGCTTTTCAAATCCGACGATTATTAACACTAATAGTGTACAAACACCCCCAACCAATTAAGCTGAAGTTCTGCACAGGCGGCGCGAATTTATTGCCAGTACAATTTTTTTGGGAGTAGGAGCGTGTGGGGGTGGGGGAGGGGGGGTGTAAGTAAATTCGATGCCAAAAAAAGTGACTGAGCTGGAGGGGGGGGGGGGGGCTTAACACCCCCCCCCCCACCCAGAATCCTTTATTAAATGTGTGCGTGACGATGCAGTGTTTCGATGATCTCTGACCAGTAAATAAACTGCCATATACCCCAATGATTAATGCCCCCGCTTCAGAAATTCAGAAGAAAATACTCAGAACTGTCAAAGGCGTTCGAGACACACATCAAATTAAAGCGTATTTCATCATCTTTCATTTTCTTTACAATTTGTTGGGGGTCAACTGATGACTTTTAGGAGAAATTTCCATCCGAAGATGATCACCTCTTATATAGTCCTGAAGCCCGTCGCCATTTTGAAAAACATGCCTACATACACTCCATTGTAAAATAGAGCGCTTTTTGAGCCCAAATTTCATCCAAATTGCACAGAACTACAAGCTCGCAGTTCTGTGCAAGACTTCCACCCATATTACAAACCCTCAAATACATGGCTCACAATATGCTCAAATACCGAAGACTTTGAGGGCATGCAAATCGTCATTTGACCGGCGAAGCCAATTTTGGACCGATTTACTGGCCTGCACAAAATGCTGCAGCTATGGGTGCAGCCTTAACCCTTTGAAAATTCCCAGACACTTGTGCTAAGTACCCATACTTCAAAATTCTTTTACAAATACACAGATCTCTCACAGATTTTTTTAAGTTGCACTGAAAAATGATGATCAACATGTCAACCTTCATTTTTTTTTGTAAGTTAAAATTGACTTTTGGAGATATTTTCACCCAAAGAAGACAACCCATATCCCTCCTCAACATTGAAAAATAGCGCCACTTTCGAGCCCAATTGCATCCAAAATGCTCAGATTTGGGAACCCTAATTTTATGGATTTCAGCGAGAACTCTCTATTAAGACTATTTTGCTTATATAACTTTTATTCATGAGGATATATCGGCGGATTTAGGCCTACTATTTTACCGGTACGGTGTGCACCTGTACCCCTAGGTTCACAGATTTATGGGGAAATATGTTATTTTCATATGGTGAGGCTAGGTACTAATAACAGACCGACCATAGCCTTGTCCGAAATGAAGTGTGCCCATAGGAATGTTCTTTCAGATAATGGTATGGTCTTTCAGATAAGGTATTACAAATTTGCACTTTTTTTTATTTCTGGATGGAATTTGTGTTTATAAATCAAAAATGTGAACAAGTTTATGGGGAAAATAATATTTCAGTTTGATGAGGCTGCTGGGCAGTGGGCACTAATAATGCCGAACCGATTTAGCCTTATCCAAAATAAAATGTGCCCATAGGAATGGTATTTCAGATAGTGTGCTAAAATGTGCAAGTGTTTTGTTTATTTCTGGGGCCGGGGGAATTTTTGTTTTAAAGGTAGAACACGATTAAAACTTTGTACAAGTTTTAATGGAAAGATTTAGCCTTTTCCAAAATAAAGTGTGTCCAGTGGTATGGCATTTCACATGATGTACTAAAAACTTGCACTTTGTTTATTTCTGGGGAAGTTTTTGTTTTAAAGGAACGTGTTGATAAAAACTGTGCACATGCAGGGAAATATCCGAAAATATCGATCCCCCTTTGGTGCATGTATTTTAGATTTAATGAGATCGAGGCCAGCTTGAGCCAGATTCCATTCTCCATGGATCAGTGGAGGTTTTAGTCTGGTCTCTAGACTTCGCACTAGGTAAAGCAATCGAATGGTTCTGTTGACCTATCTAATAAATGTTCCAATTGAAACGTGTGAACGATCAAGAAATCGAGAAGCCACGTGAAGTTGAATCTACTTTTGTTGTTGTGGTATAGTATTATTATTAGTATCAATTATAAACTTTACAAGCCCACAACGTATATTTCCACTCTCCTCTAGGTGAATGGCAGATGCAATGTATTACTAACATGACAAAGGAAGAAATGTTGCAACCTGACGCCACTTACGTGTAGGCCTACGTGATTGCTTGCTTGCGTACAAAAAGTCAATAGGCCTACTCCAATAGTCACTGATCAGTGATCAGGATAGGCCTAGTCATCATGCTAGTGGAGATTTACTCCTAGAACTACGAGGCTCCACTCGGAGCCTCATAGTTCTAGGAGTAAGTGGAGATGAGTCAAGACAATTTTCTAAGTGCACAATTTTGTACCATGGACATAATGGAGGAATTGTACATTGTTGAATTTCCGGAAACAGGACAACTTGTACGCGAACCAACTCTTACGCGAGACAACTCGTACGCGGATTACTCAACTCGTACGCGAGACAACTCGTACGCCAGCCAACTCGTACACAAGACAACTTGTACGCGGGCCAACTCGTACGCGAATCAACTCGTACGCCAGCTAACTCGTACGCGGACCGAAATAAACAAATTTAAATTGAACGATGTTTACGATCGCCTAAAGTTTACCCCAAAACACATGCCATAGTTAACGATTTATCACAGTACGATTGTGTAACTGAATGACTGTGATTGTAGCCATATGTTTTTTCAACAATTTAAATTAATAAATGCCACGATGTACATGTGTACAAGTTCAAAAGTTTCAATGATACGAAAAAACATGATCCATTTTAATTGCGACCGATGTGTAGTGCAATGCCGTGGCATGCGCTTCCAACCACGCAGCTAGTGTGGAGAATTTTGTCAAGACATACAACGATTTGATTTACACATAGCGCGGGGCGAATGTCAGACAAGTCTACCGTTGAGACAACTCGACTCGGGACAAGCAGGCCTGGGGACAAGTCGACCGTTGAGACAACTCGACCGTTAAGACAAGTCGACCGTTGAGACAACTCGACTCGGGATAACTCGACCGTTGAGACAGCTCAACTTAATGGAAATGTATACACGTGGAGCGGAAAAAGTTGCATAAATCTGTGGCAAGACCAGTCCTGGGCGCGGGGCGGGCATACTCGATGCACAGAGGGCGCTCCGATCCGGTGGCCGTCGCGTCGGGCCGGCGCGCCCCGCCCGCAAGGACCGGGCCCAGCCCGGCATGCGGGCATGTTGAATGGCGCGGCAAGTGGGCGCACAGGCCCGGCACAAACGATGTCACCGTGCACGGTACGGCCACATTGACCGACCGGGGATGGGATAAGTGGGCGCACAAGCCCGGCAAAAACGATTGTACATAGCTCCCAAAACGGCGATCAGCCGCCGTCAAAATCCCTGGTTCTATCCCCAAAACTAGGCTCAAAAACATGCGAGTCGACTTGTCTTTCCATTTATCGCACATACGGTCAAGTTTCTCAACGGTTGAGTTGTCTCAACGATCGACTTGTCCCGAGTCGAGTTGTCTCAACGGTCGACTTGTCTGACCCCCCGCGGGGCCACTATAGCAATGTATTGTTGGAAGTCTACAAATGCAGCGGACATACGATTTAAATTCTCACTAGCGTACGGTGTGAGCAAGGATCGGACATCGACAGTGTGCGAGTAGTCCGGGAAAACAAATCATAACTTTCTTTTTATGAGCAAAAAAAGCTGATATAAAAATAAACTAATTGGGACCACTCAGTAACATTAAATTATCCCCTTAACTTCAGAAAAAAAGAATGTGCCGGACAACTGACCGACCCTAATTTCCTACACGCCCGAACCTATGGTTTCAGTAAAATCCCTTGTGCCACGGCTGCTAGTCTATCACGCGTACGAGTTGGCTCGCGTACAAGTTGGTCCGTGTACGAGTTGTGATGCGTACGAGTTGGTTGCGTACGAGTTGGCTCGTGTGAATTTCCTTACAAATCCACGCAAAACGTCGAAATGGTTGATCCATAACTCTGAAATTCTTTAGGACCATTGACATTTAGATCATGGGCCAACTTTTTGGGGGGGAAATCTGAGTTTTTACTCACCAGCCTTGCGTCTCCGATCCGACAAATGCATGGGTCATGTTCATGTGTGTGTTTACGTACGTTGCTAGTGCACTGATCTTCGCGTGACCTCAGCAGGTAAATCCCTTCCTATCCCACACCGATTTCCTGAAAGCTGGATCTACCCCCTGATGCTCGTACAAACAAGACAAAAAATTGAAAGTTGTTCATGACGATACAAGTATTTGTTTTCCTTTTGTATTGTTAGAAGCAACAGTCTGAAGCATGGCAGAGAGGCAGTCCATAAAGCGAGATCGTTCTGAGGAAGACGGGGCGTCAGAAGCAGAGGCTAAGTCGGGGCAGAGTGGTGGAAACCCGGCAAGCAAACGAGTCAGAGTTACAGAGGATCCGGAGCGCAAAGGATCACCTGTAGCTGACTCAACAACCACTAGCGTCCTTGATGATGAGGTGGTTCTCAGAGAAGAATCGGTAGCTGGAGATGGCCAAGCATCTTCTCTGCACACGAATAAGTCTGAGCCTGACGAACATGTACAAGAAGGGGAAGATCATCCAAGTAGCACCAGTGGGAATCAGGCACATGCATCAAACAAGATCTGGACTGGCACCGGTTGCAGTGTAGGAGATTCTATGTCTGCTGAGAACTGCCATCCGATGATCCAAAGCTACGGACATTGTGAGACTTCTGAGGCTGTGGCTAGATTACCAGTTGAGGGAGACCAAAGTGGTGGACCATGTTTAGGATCCAGCAAGAGTACAGCTGAATATGGTACAGAGAGACCCATGGAGGTTGCAGGTAGTAGCAGGCTCATCGATGCTCAGAGTGATGCACAAGCTCCTGTCTCCTCTAGGGATAGCATGAGCCCAGTCGTCAGGGATCCAGGACCTGAAGGAACCTCACAACCTCTCCAGGAAGTCTCTTGTGAAGGGGACTCTGCTGAAACTGTGGATGGACAAGGGGATGCTGATAATGTCCAGGCAGACACTGCCACTGAGAAAGAACCACTGAAGGGTCTGCGGGAGACTGATGTGGGCATTGTGGAATACATCAGCAAGCACAAAGGCTTCCATGGGGTCATCAAGCATAGGTTTGTAACTTGTTTGCATCCTGAGAACCATAATGATTAATACAAAACTTTTGCTAGCGCAAGCCTACCCTTAATGAATGAACACTTCCTGGCTGTCATTCTAACAATACACGCTGACCAATCATTTTACAACTTTTGGTCAGGCAACCACAGCAACTCAGTTAAACTCTATAAAAAGCATTGTGAGAAATATACCAAAGATGGGGGGGGGGTGAGGTGGACTCATGGCCAGTACAGGAATGGCCTGTACCTTATATACATGTAGGACTAGATTTTTCATGCAAATTGAACTTTGAAGTCAAACAAATTGAATTAGCTCTCGTTGTTCAGAGCTGGCCATTCATGCACTGGTGTTGGTAGCTGAATGCATCAAGTGCACCAGTTCTTTTCCACTTGATGCACTGAGTTGCATCTGGAATGGTAAGAATTAAGATAAATAACATCACTTTCCAGAACACCAACAGACATTTTCCATAACTCTCAAGTTGCTGAACTACCGGTAACTTATTACATGATACAAAAGTGGGCAATTTGACGTTGCATGTACGTTTAGACTCAGCAGCCTTCATGCTGTGCCTCACTGCATGTACATACATGTAGGAGTGACAGCTCCTTAATCTTTCCCCTGCTGTTTGTTCTCTATGTCCTCATGGATGTTTGCATTTTTCATTGACAGACATGTTGGTTTTATTTTTCCCAAAGGTATCAGGACTTTCTTGTGAATGAAGTGAACCAGGAAGGCCAAATAGTACATCTGACAGACATGTCATGCCCAGATCCTAAAGTAAAAGTAAGCCTTTCCTTCATCTACACATGCCGATCCAGCCGCACTTTCATGGATGAACAGGTGTACATGTATATGTACATGTATGTACTATGTGATGTGATAAAATGCAGAGCACTTGCATCATGTTGTGTAGACCTCAACATGTAGATTGTGACGGATTGACAGGTGTTGATTGACAGGTGCCTTGGCAGGGCGATGACAATCTTGATCTATAGTGCTGTAGATGAGGTACATACATGTACATGTACAGGTACTTGGTCACGGGTCCTCACACGTCTGTAACAAGTGAAGCACAAGTCATAAAGTCCCAAGTCAACTCATACAGTGTGTAAAGTACTCAGGTTTTTTTTTTTTGCAAAGGCAATTCTTTGTTATTGTTCATCTAAGTTGTCTGTGACTTGACTATTGGCTTGACTTGTGATTTAATTGTGATGCATGTATCTATCACAAGTGCATGTACCTTGACTACATGTACATTGTGTTGGATTAAGACTACTGAAGAGCAGCGTCATATGAACAGATAAAACTCAGACAACATTTCTGATGATTTTCAGACCACAGACATGACAGACTCAGTTCTGTTCCAGGATGCCTTTTTTTATGGTCTGTTTCTCATTATTACCATTGTGTATTTTCATGACAGCATAATTTTGAAAACACGTATTAATAGCATCACATTTGTTTTGTTTTGCTTTTTTTCTTCACGAACTGCAGATTCCCATCAATGCAGATGAAGTTCTATCGGCTCATGATCAGCAAAGATTACGGGAATTAGTAGAAACAACTGACAAGAAGGCCTCCCACTGCATAGAGGTATCGATGGCATGCTTGCACTCTCAGAAAATGTTAAAAAATTTTAATATACAAATACAGCATGGTTTGAGGGGAAGAAGTGGGAATTACTGGTCCTGAGGTGAAGGTCAGCTTGACTACCTCCCGACGCGAAGCAGAGGGAGGTAGTCAAGCTGACCTACACCGAGGGACCAGTATTTCTAACTACTTTCCAGAAATAAACCATGCTGTGTTTGTTTTACTACACCTCATAATTATTTAGTAGCCTCACTGCCATGTCGATAATGGCCTTCCTAGATTTTGCATCATTATTCAGCACAATTGAAGTTCTTCGTCACAGTATGAAATAGTCTGGTGCCAACACTCTTTAAAGTGTTTTTACTGCAGCAGTAACAAGGATAACAACAACAGACTGGTTCTGTAAAGATTACATGCCATAGACTAAGAGGCGGGTACCAGAGGGAACTTTTGGTGCTTGCAGAAAAAATTACCGCACGGCAGCGAGCTGGATACTCACCGGGATGACGTCACCTGGGCGCGTATCAATTTTACTTCCCGGACGCGCAGCGGAATCGGCCAATGATGCGCTCCAATTTAATCATGAATATTTATGAGGTGTAGTAATATACACTACTTAGAGTGCTTCATATTTATTTCGTAAACTAAATAATTTTGGAAGGAGAACAATGGCCCCTTTCACTTGCAGTTCCAACATACATTCTTTGAATGATCATATTTTTTTATTTATTTAAAGTTCTTATGGAGAAGGGGGTTGGGTGGGGGGTGTCTTGAAAGTGGTTTGGGGTGGGGAGAGATAGAATGCTATCACAGATTATAAATAATACTGCATTTGTGGAACTTTCCCCAGTCCAAGGCTTGAAGATGGATACATACCATGCCTCTGCTGGATTTGGGCTCATGTGAAAACTTAATTTTCTATTTTTAAATTTATGTCAGTGATACTGAAGTATACATCAACATGTACACCCTTTACTACACAAGACAGTCCTTTGAATGCGGGATTTACAATATTTTGCAATTTCCTTTAATAGTTTACCAATTTTAATAAATAGTGGTTTTTAAATTGGTACATTTGAACATGTATACACACATTCTATTCTAGCCTTTAATACAATGTAAATAAATGTCCCACTACGTAAAACCGAGTGCGCACCATGCATGATTTATGGAGTCAAAACAAAACATTTTAGTTATCTTTTAGCTGTCTGGTTTACAGGTTCAAGATTATGACAAGGAAAAGCGGCGGAAAGTCCATGAGCTCATCAGGCAGGACTATGAGACTCTAGAGAGCTGCACGCTGGATGGCAATGGCAAAAAGGTCATCAAGGTCACCAAGATCACTCGTGGAGGTAAGGCTGCATCAGAATGAAATGGCTACGGCTTGCGAAAACACTTGCTTATGAAAGCAGCCGAAGCCACTTCATACATGCATAGACATCAGGCAACTTCCCATAGGCTCATGTGTAATTTCATGCCGTAGCCAAGTAATTTGGACACGGTGTTAGTGTTTATGCTGTAGGCCGTAGTCATGTACATGTATCGTTTCGGTTTGCAGTAACACCATGTGGTAATAACTACTGCTTAGAAGATATTAGTTCTGAAAAGAACTTGTCCTGCTTATCATCAACTTTGCTAAGTAGTTTTTTGTTCTGTGCTCCTTGCATCGGCATCTGTGCACCTGCACCTGCATCTGTGCACCTGCACTTGCATCTGTACACCTCAGGCACCTGCATGAACACTCTACAGACTTGTTAGTGGCTGCAGTCTCCTGACGATGACTAGAGCAGGCTATTCGAAACGTTGACGATGACTAGAGCAGGCTAGTCGAAACGTTGAGACCAAAGACAAGTTCGTTTAGAACTTACAGCAGGACTGTTCTTAACAGAACAAAAAACTACTTAGCAAAGTTGATAATAAGCAGGACAAGTTCTTTTCAGAACTAATATCTTCTAAGCAGTAGTTATTACCACATGGTGTTACCGCAAACCGAAACGATACCGATACCCCACCATGCGAAGCCTCAAATCTTATATCATGTACATGTAATTTGGACACGGACTATTAAGACTGTCCTTTGACATACACAGAATATATCGTACAATTGGTGTGTGACCCCCAAAGGAACTGTCTGTGTGGGACATACCACATGTGTACAGTTTGCGTGAGTATAGCAAAAAGTAGGTCCGATGACTCATTTCATTCTGAAATTTTCAGCAGCCACTAACAAATCTGTAGAGTGTTCATGCAGGTGCCTGAGGTGTACAGATGCAAGTGCAGGTGCACAGATGCAAGTGCAGGTGCACAGATGCCGATACAAGGTGCACAGATGTTGGTACAAGGTGTGCAGGTGTCAGGTGTTCAGCGGTAGTGTTATGCTCATTAGTAGTCTCTGTCACCTTCATGTGGTCTTGGCCCCAGGCTGGATTTGGATTTATTTCCCTAATACATCCTGTTCCTAGCATGGTAAAGCCACCCTGGCAGTAGCTATTAACCAGATCAATCAAATCTAGTCTTGGGAACTTTGGCACCGCTGTTAAGAAAATTCTGAGCATTCAATTTTCATCTATAACACATCCTGGTATACATGTACCGGTAGGTACCTACCGATTTACATCGACATTTAAAGAAAAAAAACAACCTGTGGTGTCACATGAGTTGTGACGACGTCATCATCATGGTGCCACTTCAGTTATCACCTATAACCCATCCCTGTCTATGCACATACAAAGTTTCAACCCAATGGGACTTGCTCTTCCGAAGATATACATGTAGGGCCCCGGAAATGCAGGTATATTTTGGTGTCACATGACACACAATGACGTCGTCAGTTTATCAAGCATTAACGTTTGCCTGTACCCGTTTATTTTATCCTGCTCGTACATTGTTCAAGGATAATAGAGATACAGTGTTTTACAAGAAGCTACGTACCAAGGAGCTGCATGTGCTAGCACCTTCCCTTTGACCAGGTTTTGTTTTAGATTAAAAAAAAGAAAGGTTTATATTTTTTTCACGCTAGTCAGTAAAGACTATGGGGTGTCAAACAGAACCAGCAAAGGTTTGTTGGATCTTGGATAGGATTTCTCCTAAATACATGTACTCCATATTAGTTGGCCAGCAAAAATGTGGAAAAGTTCTCTAGAAAATAATTCATGGCATTTATTGGTAGTAGCTGGCATCCATGCTAGATCAATTCTTTTTAGAACATCATAATCATAATACGTGTACGTGACCAAAATGCGCATCAACTCTTAATACAGCGCGCGCTATATATACGTGTACGTGTAGAACGTTTGTATCATACACGGCCATCTTCGAGAGACCGGGGCGAATTGGTCAATATGCAAAGTCTGCTGTGTGACGTGTGTATGGATATCCGCTATCCAGTCTTTATATAGAGATCAGTGGACACACCCTGAGACTTATCATGGAATATGAATACTGCCCTCAGTTGATCAGATGAGGAAATGGATTTGGTGCAGTCAGATGACACAGTTTTTGGAATGTGCTCAATAAGTCTATTATGACCATTATATTTGGTAAAAAAAATCGGAGAATATATACAGTTTTTCTGTCAGTTGAATGAGCACATAATATTACGTAGTTATTTGTTGGACATGTTAGATAAGGACATTAAATGGAAAATTTACATGTAACCACAGATCAAAGGATAGCATTACTGTATGCATTTCTTTCTATATAGTGTGCACTCATGTAATTACATGTACATGTAACACTTGAACAGTATAAATAATACTCTTTTTCAATTTGGCTATTGTACATGTAGGAAAATGAGGGGTTGACTGTTAAACATATCGTCGGCTGCACCACGAACCGACGTATCGCATTTTTTTGTGTTTCGAGAAAAAAACGATTTAAAGTTGGTCATTATTTTGTAGGCTCATTCCATATACTCCCTGTGTAAGAATTCAAACTGTTTCGTTTTTGCGAGTAAATTATAGATTGAACTTTATTGTATGCAATCTGTGTGCATCTGAGTTCCTTTTTTGAGAAATTCAGTTCCAGAGTTATTTGTCATTTCGTGAAACAGATTTTTATCATGTTTATTCTATGTCATACAACGCGCTTAATAATGGCCGTGTGCCAGATACGGAGATACGTCGGTTCGTGAAACGCTAAATTCCAATTTTTCAAGTCAACGCGCCTTTGTGACGTCATAGCACTATGAGAATTAGCGTGTAAAGTGGCGTATCGGGATACGCCACTTCGTGGTGCAGCATTTTTCATTTTTTAGAGATACGCCACACAGTCTAATTAGTAATTAGCGTTCTTAGTTAATTAGAACTCCGATCGGAATAAAACTTTCTGAGAATGAGCACTTTGATGAAATAATAACGTTAATGACAAAAACTCAATTTGGCAAAAAATCGAGATACGCCGGTTCGTGGTGCGACCGACGATATGTACCATGAGTCAATGTATGTATACATGTTGCAAATATTTGAAAGAAAAACAAACAAAAACCAAACAAACAAACCAGACATTTACAGTATGTATGCTGGTACCTGTACCTTTACATATGCACATAAAACTCATACCAGTTCTCACATCTCTGTATATGTACCTGTACACATACCGGTATCTGTACATGAAAAGCATTTAGCCATAAGAGCCAGAAACAGTTCTTCTCATGCAATTAGTCATAGGAATCCTTGACCTTTTAAGTATGACTGAGAAACAAGTATGCACTTTTCATCAAACGGGCTTTGCATAATACGTGCATCTTATAGCCTATCGCAGTATACTTATTTAAAAGTTCTTACTGCAATGTTGTACTCAACAACTCAAGTCTTAATTATAAAAAAGCTCTTCCACTTCAGTGTGTCTTGTCCACAATTATGTTTGCTCTCCAGTTCACGTTCACTTTTCATGTGAACGTGGTGATATCAAACACTGACTAGTCAAGTCACAGACTCCCGTGTTGGAATTTACCCAATAGTTTTCTCCATGGTCGATTTAAACCAGAGATGGTCAAAATTTTTCATTTTATTACAAGTACCGGTATTATGGTCATCAATTCGTAATATTTTCAATTTATAAGCAGACACAAAATTTTGTGAAGTATTACAGTACACTACATGAATCAAGTTAAACGTATTCTCTACACAACAGTACAAGTTGTTCCTTCAAAGGCTGAGACAAAATGTACAGTGTATGTACCTGCATCTTAAAAATAAATAAATAAAGAGCCATGAATATATATGAGGCCCTTGAGAATTTTAAGCCTGTGGTCTTCAGATGTACCGTGCCGTACCGTCCATTTGCAGTTTTTATTACACATTTCAGAGTTAAACAGGGCCACTCCAACAGGACCAAGCCCTCGCCACAATTCATCTAAAAGTCAACCGCACATGTCGCAAGTCATCCAGTTGCAAGTCAAGTATCAATCAATTCAAATGAGTTCAGACAATGGCATTCTGTTTGTCATTGTTTGTCCAATACTTGTGACCGGAAGAAGCGTATCAAATTTGACATGTGATTTATGGTACTTTCAACCGTACTTGTGATTTGGATTGCGATTGTCTTAATCTATCTGCATGGGCGTCGCGAGGGGGGGGGGGCAAGGGGGGGGGGCACCCCCCCTGGAAAAGCAAGAAAAAAGAAAAAAGAAAAGAAAAGAAAAAGAGGCGCAAAGACAAAGTGGTGTAAATTTAATGAGTTGGGGGGGGGGGGCAAAATATCCCTGCCCCCGTCTAAAACTGATAAATCGAGAATGTGTTGAGAAATACAATCATTTTTTGGCCAAAATTTTTTTTTGCCCCCCTCTAGAAAAAATCCTGGCGACGCCCATGTCTATCTGTGAATTGAAGAAAAAAAATACCTTAACTCTCCTACCAACATACATTCTGTGCCAAGTAGTCCTTTCAGTCCAAATCAATCAAGTGACTGTTTTCAACAGTTAAGAATTCCTAGCCTACATAAAGCAATTTTATTGACTGGCCGTGACTGTTTATGCAACTCGATGCAGGTTTGCTTTGGATGTGGGTAATCGATAAAGCCAGCTGTGCCCACAACTTGCCTGCTTTGTCTGATCATGTTCTGTTGACTGAGTGTGACAAGTCACTACAGTGTTTGCTTGATATGATCTGACTGCTGGTGACTAGCCTGTGTTAAAGGTATAGCAGGGGCAGTGGATGGTAATTTTGACCGTCTGTGACTGTAGCTGGAGGGTTAAGTTTGAAAACGCACTACTATTTGCTCAATACGGTTTCAAAAAGGAAACTTTGTGAGTTTTTACAATTTATTGACATAACTCATTGGTTGTACAACAGAGTAGGGTTGAGAATACAGCGTACACATACAATGTGCACATTGCTGTGAGGTTGCTTGG